CGCAGAATTAGCACCGAAAATAGCCGCCCGCGAGGGGTGTTCCGTATGGGCAGAATTGGGTGGGGTTCCCGGTGGGAGTTTTTGTTTTCCGATTGGTTTTGGGGTTTGGGGTTTTGTCTTGTGGGAATTCACCCTGTCCGAGATTGCCGCTGCTGGCGTGATCCACATGCTGTGGGTGGCTTGCTTCCCATTTTGCTTTTTCCATTTTCCTGAAGCCCCTTGGCTGATTACTTTGCGATCTGGTGTGGCGCAGCTTGGGCTGTCGCTTTTTCGGGTTTGGGCCTTCGCTTGTTGTCCCGGGTCTCGGGGTTCGGGAAAATCCCGCAAAAATTAGCAGGAAATTAGCGGCCGCCGCCGCCCCGGGGTTTCTGACTGACGTGCCGAACTCCAAAAGACTCTGTCGCGCGTCCCCGGGCGTGAGATAGCTGCCGAACTCTCTACCGATTCTGATGGTATTGGGTGGCGAAAGTTCGACTTCCTTGGGGCGATTGCGTACTACTCTAGGGAGCACAAGTCAGTGCGTGTGACCATGGAGGAGTATATAGAGAAAATTGCAAAGAAGTTCGCCGTGACATTAGGCAAGCCGGTACGTTCTCCGAATTTTGACGAGTCAGCTCTGACGGCAGAAGATCTTGAAGAGCTGAAGGACAACCCTCGCAGATCCGTAGTTGGTGCGCTGCAATGGATCGCGACCCCTGCGCGTCCCGACATCTGTGTGCCGGTTTCTACTTTAGCTCGCTACGTGAGCAAACCAGCCACGAAACGGATCGCGTAGGTACGCCGGTAGAAAAGTGACTACGTTCCTCCTGACGACGCGTGAAGTGGGACTGTCGTACAGTCCAGCGGAAGAAGTGAAGTTCAATGAGATTTATCAGAAGATAGTGCCGGAGGGCAGGGACGTGCCGCGTCTGAGCCTGTTCCTTCTCTGCTGCTGGTTTCGTCAGGCGGACGGCCCGGGGCGGGGCAACGCGCTAAACGCCAGCTATTTTCTGGCTAAATTGAAAAGCCGAGAGGGCCATGGCCTGGCCCCAAGGCACGAACCCCCGGGCGCCGCGCCCACCGAGGGAGCGAGCTATTGTCTTCGGGGCCCCCGACACGCCCGAATCTCGGCAGTGGAAACAGGCGGGCCGGGCGCCCCGCGGCCCGAGAAGCCGCTTCGGAATGCTTCTGGCTAGAGCGCGGCGAGCTCCGCCCCAAGGGCCCGCTACTGAAAACTCCCCAGGATCCATTGTGAAAAAGTACAGGAGATTTCTTCCGGGCCGGAGGCGAGATGATGATCATCTCGCGAGATGGTGATCATCTCGCCTCCGGACCGGATAACTCTTCTCCTAAATTGGCCCCGGGAGGCCGAAAAAAAAACGGATAAATAAGCCGCTAAATATGCCGCTAAATGTCCGGATAAATTGGGTCCCCCGGGGGGTGCCCGAGGTGCCCCGGGGGGTGCCCAGGCAAAATTCCTTCCCATTTTCACTGTCCCCCTCATTTATCCCAATATTTATCCCAATATTTATCCCGATTTTATCCGGAATTTATCCCCATACTTCTCCGGATATTTATCCGGATTTTCTTGGGAAAATAGCCTGAATTTATCCCAATATTTATCCCATTTTCGGCTGCCGGCCGCGGGGCCTCGGCCGCCAGCTGGCAATAGGATAAATCTTGGAATAAATATCAGGCAAGGGAGCTGGCCCTTGCAAAATTTAAAAATTCGAGGCGCAAACGCTTCGAATTTTTAAATTTTAAAACGGCCGAGGGTGATGCCGGGGTGGGGCGCTGCCGGAAGGCTGTCGCCCCGGGCCCCGCGGGAAGCCGCGACAGAGACCCGCCGCCCGGGTGCTCAATGCACGGCAGGGAACGTGGCCCGGCGCGCCTAAACGGCCAAGCCACACGGAGCAAAAAAGACGCGCGGCAAGCGGGCAGATTTATCCAGGTCAGAGCCGGAATCTACTCGGGAAACCCGCCCCGGGTCGTCCGCCTGAGGTTTCGCGAATTGTTTGAAGACGATGCGTCCTACCACTGGCTCGATTATGTACTACCGCGGTTGCCCGATCTGTTGGCGCAGCAATCGGCAGACTTTGCGCGCGTATTCGACGGCGGAGAGCGAGTACGTCGCAGCCTCGGACACTATTGTGCTCAGTGAGCAGAACGATTTCGCTGACTTCTTTGCTCCTCTTCCTACCAAGATGGTAGAAACGCAGCACGGCTTATCCCCATCCCTGGTTGAAGCCATCTTGTGGGTGGGCAACCAATCCGCAATCGCTACGGCCAAAAGCACAGACACACAACCCAAGTCACGGCATTACGCTCTACGCTACTTGCGTGGGCGCTGCCAGTCGTATAGTCTTCTGCCCCACGCACCTGATGAAGGCAGACGGTCGGACTTACGAAGCTGGAATGCTCAGTCCCACGGCGCAAGCTGCTTTCGCATCACGTAGACAATCTCGTCGTCGCCTGTGCCTCTTCACGCCCCGACGTCCAGTCGGATGATGAGGATGATTTTGATGCTTCTTGCTATACTAGTTTCTACGATGATAGTGGAGGAGCTTTAGTGTTGTACGCTGTAGACTTTGGATTCTAGCCCGCGGAGGGGTGTACGTGCGTCCTTTATATCAGAGGTATATCATGGGCAAGGCATAGGAAGACTCTTGGAGGCTTACAGACTGCAGCGATTGAGGAGGGGTGTTGGTCATGTGATCAGAACCCTACCGCAACCATGTCTGAAGCCTCTCAAGATGATCTGAGACGCCTGTTCCCAAATGAGCAAAGCAATGGGCTTGCCGCTTACGGGCTGAGTCCATTGGTTCCCAATACGATAGAAATGAGCAATCAATGGCCTTGCCGCTTACGGGCTGAGTCCATTGCTTCGGTTCTACTGTCACGGTCGTATTGCTCTGTTCCTTACTTGATCACTTTAGTAGTTTGCCGCGAATCAATGGCCTTGCCGCTTACGGGCGGAGTCCATCGATTTGGTTTGGATTGCTCCCCTGGCTGTGCTTGGATTCCTATGATTTTGCTCATGCTTTGATGCGAATCAATGGTCTTGCCGCTTACGGGCTGAGTCCATTGATTCGCATGGATCTGAGTCCGAGCGGTCCATAGGAAGGCGATGAATTTGAATGACATTGAGCCCACAGGATGCAACGCAGCCAGAGGCTTTCGCCCTGTCTGCTGAGAGATTGAAGTGCTGGAATTGGTTGAGAGACCTGGTTAGGTAGAAGCTTTAGTCACTCAGTGTGGCAGGTGTGTTCAAAGTCCAACAAGTTCTGCTGTCCAAGTCCAAAAGTAGGAAAATCCAGTGGGGTTTTACACTACAAGGAGGCCGAAGGCTTCTCGGACATGATCCGGGGAGCCGGATTTCCTCCGGATTGATTCGGAACAGAATTAGAAGAAAACTAGAAAAGGAAGTAGAAGGGAAATGAAAAGGCAGAACCAGAAAGGACGTTAAGCGGCATTTTAGAAGGAAGATTAATAGTGTTAGTGGACTTGAGAACACTCGCACACACTTCCACGCGCTTGCTCCACTGAGCTCGTTAGCAGCAGCAGTGTCGTGAATTCTCTCCGTTGCAAGTAAGCAAGCAAGTGCCGCAAGTCTCTGGCTGCGTTACATCCTGGAGGCCCAATTCATCCAACTTCATCGCCTTCATATGGATCAAGCGGGCTCTGATTCATGCGAACCAATGGACTCAGCCCGTAAGCGGCAAGGCCATTGCTTCGAGGTAAAACATGAACAAAATCACAGGGATCCAAGTACAGCCAGGAGAGCAATCCGAACCAAATCGACGGACTCAGCCCGTAAGCGGCAAGGCCATCGATTCGGGCGAAACTACTAAAGCGATCAAGTAAGGAGCAGAGCAATACGAACTCGACATCGGGGCCGAATCAATGGACTCAGCCCGTAAGCGGCAAGCCCATTGATTTGATCACTTCTATCGTATTCCGGCGACTTGATCTAGCTAGTTCAGGGCGTTCAGAGCTGTCACTTCGTTCGGGAATCAATGGACTTAGCCCGTAAGCGGCAAGCCCACTGATTTGATCATTTGGGAACAGGCATCATGTGGGGCGATCGTGTTGCGTGTGTGCGGGATCGATTTCCATGACCAACAAAGAGAAAAGATCGCAGAAGGGAAAGCAGAAAGGATTTTAGAGGGGGAAACTCGACGGCTGTTTTGGAAGAGGAAACAAATTAGCCGAGAACTTTAGAAGCGAGCCAAAACTGGAAGGAAGTTCATTGTAGAAGGGAAAAGCAAAAGGGTCGGGGCGGGGCATCATGGGAAGCGTTCGCTGTGTGTCCGCATCTCTGGGGTGGGGCAGTTGTGCGGCCGGATGTCGTCAGTAGGGTGTTGCATATATTCGGGCGCTTGGGCGAGGAGGGTCGGGCGAGACTCATCTCCACACGGTGGAAGGAGCTCGATTCGGCTTTGCCCGCCATCTGGGTGTTTCTTTTGTCTTTGGGCTGCTTAGGTTTCCCGCCTTTGGGCGACTTTATTTTGTTGGGCAACCTGCTCCGGAATCGGAAGCGTGAACAAATCGAAACACCGGAAAAGTAGCGAAGTTTTAGAAGCCAAGGCGGAGCGGGTGTCTCCCGCCTGGGCGTGCACCTAAAGGGCGGCGGTGGTCGATCGTGCTGCTGTGGGCCCCGTGTTCCGGCTACTCCGGATCGCAATCGGTGGAGGGCGGGACATGCACAGGCGACAGGCGCTATCCAGTCAACCAGGCAAGTTTTGCAATCTTCCAAGGCCAGACATATTTGCACTTGATAGTGGCGGGGCCTCACTACAACGACACGAGTGATGCATTGGTCATCTGTGGTGCCCACCTCTATGCCCCTGCGTCGGCTCTGAACGACGTACAAAGCCGACTCAATGTGGCGCGGTATGTGGAAACTCAAATTCCTGCTGCCCTGATGCACGGCGCGCAGTCGAGTAGTCTCTACGACACATATGCAGAACTTCCGTTGCAATATCGATACGGCAGGACCACAGAGTGGCAAGAGCACGAGCAAGAGAACCAGCAAGCAGGGGGAGGGGGAGGGGGAGGGCAACATGGAGGGCGTGTGCGAAATCTACTTAGCAATCTGGAATCAAATTGTTGGAATCACGTTGAAAGTGAATTCAAGTTAATGCAATCAAGTTAATGAAATCAAGTTAGCAATGAAATCAGGTTAGTGGGTAATAGAGTCAGGCTGTGCGTACTAACTTGCGCGCCTCATCTATCCACTGCAAAGATGTCTGGTTCTGGACGGTTGCAACATTTGTCATGCAAGTTGTCTGCCACGACGACGACCCACAGCCTCTGCATGTGAGCGCTGCATCTTTTTCGATATTCATTTATATAGGTTGGTAAGAGAGGGAATCAGACCGAACAGATGGAATCAGACTAGTGCATGGAATCAGACTAGATGCGGAATCAGTTTAGTGGAATCAGAATAGTGAATAGAATCAAGACACTTGATGCAGACTTATGCGCTGAATCTGCATCCCCATCCGTCGTCGAATGAATGTGGTCGGTCATTGCGTTCTCTGTCGTATGCATTGGGCATGTTGATGATGCCCCCCTGCAGGCATCGCTGTGGCCCATCGCTTTCTCGTCACTTCATCTGTTGGCAGTGCGTGTTCGCTGCTGCGCTTCTATTTCAGGCGGGACTTGGCTTGCGTGCTCTGTATGTCTGCGCATCAGGCCACATCTAGACGGAGGGGGGGCAAGGTTTTCATAGTATATCTCGCATAGAAATTGTTTTCGGCGATCCGTGGTGGTCAGCCCGGGCCAACTTCTATCACAGGCTCCGGATCATTGTCGGCGCACTCGCTTCCTCATTCTCGCGACGGCACGACTGGCAGACCGCGCGCGTGTCATGGTTGGATGACGGGGGCGGGCCCTAGCAGGTACTACATGCAGATGCCTTGTTTTTGGTTTCAGATGCCATTGCTTTCTTTTTTGGTCAGGCGTCCGGGCCCGGGCCATGTCAGCCGGTAAAGCTTTGGCAATATTCCGGCAATTTTTTTCAAATGCCTAGGGGCGCCGCCGGCTTTCCGTCGTTATGTGTGCCGGGTCCTTTGGCCGTGGGTGCCGGTTTTGCCCCCGCCCCCGGCCGTGGTCTTTCCCAGTTTCTGGTCGTGCTCGTGGGCGCCTTGGCCGTGGCCAGTTATTTTCGGGCTGTTCGATGTTGGGTTTCGTGTATTTCGGGGCGTGGTGGTGTGAGGCGTGATGGTTCGGCTGCCCGTCGTTTTTGTTTTGTGGTTGAAAACCTCTCTCATATTCCGACCCGCAAGCCCTGCGCTCGTGTCGCCTCGTCATGCAATTCTGTCGGATCTGTCCTGAAAGGTCCGACAGAATTGCATGGCGGGACGAAATGGTCGCCATCTTCGTTTTACTCAAAACAGCCCGAAACCGGCATGAACTGCAGCAAAAGCTGCAACTCATGCTGCAACTCATCGTGCAATTTTCGGCCGAACACCGTCCCGACCATTTTTGAAAAGCTGCAATTGGCGCTGCAGTTGGCCGTGCAATTTTCACGCAATTTCAGGTCCAGGTCCGAAAACAAAGCAAATGGCTTGGTTTTCGTACCCCCCCCTGAAATTGCAGCTTTTTTGCGCACTCAATTGCAGCGTCAGTTGCAGCTTTCCGAGAGTGGTGTGGGACAGTGTTCGGGACACTTTTTGCACAGTGAGTTGCGCACTTTTTGCACACAAGTTGCACACTCTCCTGGGATATTGTCAAAAGTTGGGGGGCGAAAGTGATGCTGCATGTGGCGCGCCCGCGCCTGTTTCCTGGGGTTTCTTTCAGAAGCGTGCCGCCCATAGCTGGTTGGAAAAATGCGCGCAGGGTGGTGATGTCGCGCATACCCCCGATTGCCCCCCGCCGGTCTCCGGGGGTTGTCTGCAAAAGATGTCTCCGCCCCAGGCGCAAGGCCCGGCCGCAAGGCGGTGTTGCGATGAAGATGCCCGCCTGCGCCGGATGGGTGTGTTGTGAGTGCCCGCGGGGCGCGTCGATCTGCGCAGCGGGGGGGCCTCTTTAGTCTATGTCTAGGCCCGCCAGGGTGCTGGTGTGCCTGTGTGTTGGCTCCTCACCTCTAGAAAGACGCCTGGGCCGCGTGAAAAATAAAACCCACCAGGGAAGGCAACAGCACTCCTACGCAGGCGCGGCCATAAAAACTGCAGCGCCTGCCTTGGCGCAAAAAAAACATGGCAAATCCCGACGGTATGCTGCGAATTTCTTGAGGGATTAGAACAGCGCTGAAGATCACCTATTTCGTGTCTACACAGCGTGGCTGATCTGCTCGGCGATACAGAAAAAATAAAGCTACGCCCGAGCTAGAGATACACCTACGGCGTGCCTCTCGTGCGGGCCCGAGCAAAATGCTGTCGGTTGGGCCCTCCCGCCGCCGCCTGCGCTCTTCTCCCTACGGGATCGGGCCCCAGTGGGGACAAAATAAAAAAAATGATGTGCGTGTTTTTTTAAAAGGCCGCGGCCGTTTTTTTTCTTTGGATTTTTCAAAGAAAAAAAAAACTTGCGCGCCTCTTACATGGCGCGCGCGAAAGGCCCCGGCCTCTTCAGTGTGTGTCCAGGGGATTGGCGTGACTTTTGGGCTTGCGCCGTCTTGGTTGCCGATAGGACGCAAACCCTCGGGAGCCGCCGGCCTTTGGGGTGGTGTCTGCCGTTCGCATCGGGGGAATATTTGTGGCCCTTGACCGCTGGCGCGGAGTGAGAGGGACGAACGCAAGGACGTTTTTGTCGTAAAAGCAGCACCTCCCGGCGCCGGAGGCTTCGAGGTGCACGCAGATCATGACTCCGAAATCTGTGGGCATCTATCTTCGAAGCCCGCGGCGACGGGGCGCGCTTTTTTTACGACAAAAAATTCCACAATTTACGACAAAAAATCTAAAAAAATTTAAAAAAATCAAAAAAAATTGCGTCGCAAGAAAAACCTTAGGGGTCTGCGCTACCTTGGGGAATTCTGCCATTTTTCGTCCCGCCCTTGTCATTTTTCTGACACGGACTTGACATGGATTCCGGATTATTTGTCGTAAGATTTCGCCGTCAAGATTCCGTTCTGAAAAATGTGGGTGGGACATTGTGTCTTGTCTTCGGTGGAGCCTGATGATGAAGGTCTTCTTGGTGTCTTGCAAGAACCTCGCGTGTGTCCTCCCAGAGGCCGGGGCCCGATCGGCGGGAGGGTTGGTTTCTCACTTGCGTGGCGACACACCCGCGGCCCACCTCGGAGCCACGGAAGGGGCCGGCGGTTGGTCTTGGGCGCGCCTACCATTTCCTCATTCCGTTTTTTGCCCCTGATATTCCTCGGACGCCGGCGTGGTGCATGGCCGCGACATAGTTGGCCGATGGGCGTGCGCGCCTTCGCTTTTGCCTCACCCCCTTTTCGTTTTTGCCAATTTTTTTTTTTCCGCTTTTTTCCAAACTTAAAAATCACGGCTATTATTTTTTATTTTATGGGCCCACTGGGGCCCGATCCCGTTGACTTCTCCCTCCGGGCGTCGTTCCAGCGTCCTCCGCTCAGTAGCCCGCGCCTACCTGTGCAGGCGAGCAGCGTCTTCATCTAGCTACTCCAGTAGTCCCCACGTCCCACCACCGCGGCCGACGCAGCAAGGCAAGCGCTTCTGGGGTTTCAAGCTCGTAGTGTAGGGCTCAGATTTTGACTTCTTCGAACCATGGGAGTGCCGCGGGATTCTTCGAGGGGAGTGTGGGCAAACCATGGGAGTGTGGGAAAGCCATCCGATCTCCTGGGAAAACCATGGGAGGTGGGAAAGCCATGGGATTGGCGTGGGAATTCTTCGAACAGGGCGGGGAGCGTTTTAGCCCCCGCGGCCGCAGCAAAACCATAGGCGGGCGCGCGGATTCGTCCTTCCGGGTGGTTCCGCGGGGCCGGTGCTAGCTGGGGCGACTAAAGCAGCAAAGCCAGCTCGCTGCTTTTTGGTATGGGTCTGGTTTCTTTTCTCTCGGACAATCCTCCAGAGTCAGGAGCGCTATCCCTTCCAGCTTCTGGGGACACATGGTGGCGACGGGTGTCATGAGCAGCATACATCACCCGAAAAGAGCCCGGCCATCAAGCACTCCTGTTGTCCCGTCCGAAAGGATGACGAGGGGAACTGCGGCCGCACTAAATTGATCGGCTACATTGGGTGCCCGAGTAGCGTGATGGACTATGAGCCGGCTGCGAAAGCTTTTCTTGAGCTTTGCCGCACGCGGTACGGCGCGCGCGGACCCTTCCCGGAGCATTGGGGCTGATGTCTGGGATGGCACCAAGTCCGTGAGTGAGAAAATGTTGGGCCGGCTCTACACGCCCGCAAAGGGGCTGGGGTTTTTACGGAGAGCGAAGGCTCGGAGGCCGAAGGCGAGAAGGAGGGGAGGCAGCCTGCTCCACCGCCTCGCGTACTTAGATAGACTCGGGGGAGCGACCGCGCTTGGTGCGCGACCTGTGTCATCGTGTGAGAAATACGACACCAGCGAAAGTGCCAGGGAGGAAGAGGATTTCAGAGGGCATGGAGGTGCTTGCCATACTGTGCGGGCAAATGCTTACGCAGCCAGCTCGCGACGGACCTCGGGCGCTGATGGACAGGCTCAAGGCAAAAGCCGAGCGCCATCGTCGGGATATCGCCACGAACATCGTCGACCGCCTGGCCGACGGCCGGGGGGGTTCGTTTCTATTGGACTTCGTCGGGCAGCTGGTACGGAGATGGTTCCTGTTTGTTCAAGAATCAGCCTGCCCGGAGACGCTGGGGAGTTCCTGTCTTTTCACGAAGTAGCTCCCAGACGATGCATAGGGCGGGCCACTTTTTGACTTTTCATTCATTGCAGTGAGTAGGTATGTAGCCCGCGCGCGTCGTTTCTTGATATTCTGAGGAAAGGGAACAGGTGTTGGCTGTCCAGCAGGCCCCTTGGCATTCCTTCCAGCAGCCACCCAGAATGAAGCATCGAGCGTGGTTGGAAAGACGACCAAGGCGGAAAGACCAGCGAGCGGCTTTCTGCAGATGTGTCGCAGCGAGGGTCTCGGTGTCCTGGGGAAAAACGCCCCCGCCCCAGAATCAATCCGCTCGCTGCGAGGGGGTCCGCGGCGCCAGTGGCGCTGGGGTGATAGTTGTGCCGACTACGTGACGATGATGATGGTGATGCGTGAAGGTTTGTAGTCCGCATCCCAGGACGAGCACGAAGCGCGCCTCGTCGCGTTTCGGCCCCTATAGTGCTGTAATAAACAGGGGAAGAGGTGGATGGCTTTGGTGTGCGGCTGTCCTTGCGAACCAGCAGGCACAGCACTGACTTACTTTTCTCCGCGGGGCAGCTGAGTGGGGCAGCGGGGTTCCTGGGCCATGAGCTAGCAAGCGGGGGCGTGCTACGATCGGCTCTGCCACCGTTTGCCATTGCCATCAGATCGACCACCTTTGCAGGGAATCGCAAATGAGGGAGTCCTGCGGTCGGCTCGTTCCTCTTTGGGCCTCCCGCCGGCGAAATGCAAGAACAGGAGCCCTCCTGTCGGCTCTTCTTAGTATTGCAGTTCCCGCGCGCGTATTTGTGAGCATGTCCTTGTCTGGAAGATCGACTGGTTGGGGTTTGAGCTTGCTCTGCAGCGCGTCCTTCCATGTCGGCGCACGAAGCGACGTCGTATGTAGTGAGGTCGCGCGCGTTGGTTCTGTCCTGGCGCTTTTTTTGCCCGTCAGACAGCAAAACGGCCGGCAGTTATCAAGCGGCCGGAAGTGTTTTTTGACATAAAAGGTCACCAATTATCAAGCCGCCGGGGCTTTGCCATCAAACAAGCACGGGCCAACTCTATCGATTACCGCTTGACAAAACGACGCAAGGGAGCCGGCAAGCAAGGGGGCCGGCAAAAGGGGGGCCCCTCTGAGGCGCCCACCGCCTTGGTTTCTGGTGGCTTGGGGCGCTCAAAAAGGGGCGCCGACAAAAGTCCAATAATACAACAACCGCGAACCCGCATGCTATTGGCACCATTTTGGCCCACTTTTCGAGGTCGCAAAGCCGGCCACCAAAGTCGGGCATCTGTAAGGCGGGGAGCGGGCCAAACGCTGCGACTTTTCAACAAAAAAAACCAAAAAACGCGAACGCCGCCAAAAGCCGAAAGCCAATCCGCATGTTGTGGCCCCCTTTAGGGGGCCAATAGTGCCGGCCCCGGCGGAGGCCCTAGGGCGGCCATAGCGTGTGGGAAAGCGTTGCTTCTCTGGAGGCAGCAGGGGCGCGGCTTTTCCACAAAAAAAACCAACAAACGCAAATGCCGCCAAAAGCAGCAGGCTTTCAATCCGCCTGCTAGGGGCCCGATTTGGGGCGCCCAAGGGGCCGACCCTGGCGGGGACCCGAGCGGGGCCACGGCATGCGGGGAAGGCCTTCGGGCTTTGCAGACAGGAAGCGGGCGACTTGTAGCCGTGATATCTACCGCCCCCGACACCATGCGGGGCAACGCTTTGGAGGGCGGCAGTAAAAAAAGCCACTGCGGCCTTACTATCTACCCCCGCGGGCGCGGCTATTATTGGTGTCTATTATCTATGGCCCTCAGTCGCACTCGCAGCGCGTCGCGCGGAATCCCCTTGATGCATATAGTCCCGCGCCGATTTCTTTTCCCTCGTGCCGATTTCTCTTCCCTGGCTGCGCGTCAAAAAATGGCTGCGCTGCGCAAGCTTTCAGCTGCCAGACATATTTGTAGTGGTGGTCGGGGATGTTGGTGGAGCTCCACCGCCAAAGTTTTCAGGAGGCAGGAAAGCGCGCGGAGGAGTATCCGATCCATCTACCAGGTCGCCGGGCTACGTACGTTGGTGTGGGCGCCGATTTCAGCTGCAGCGGCACCATAGTGCTACGTAGCGCATACCCACCGAACTCAACCTCGAGAGTATTTGGCTCTGTTGTTGGTTTCTCGTGCGCCAGGGCCTCCCTTCTGTCGTAGTATAGAAATCAATGCGGGAGTATACGTGGCCCGCTCGGCTTTGTTTTTCTTTTTGTGCCGAGTTCGGGCGCTGCAGGTTACTTCCACAGCGGGAGTGGGTTCCGCGGAAGGTAGTAGCTAGACCACCTGACTTATCTAGTTAGCCCAGCCCTTAAGGCAGAACGAAGACGGGGAGCAGCGCGGGCGTTTGCTATCCATTCGAGTGCGTAGCTAGCATGGCGCTCCAGCGACTTTGAGGACTTTGGCGCAATATAATTCAATGCACTTACTGACGTCACAGGTTGCGCCCGAGCTCGGCGCGCTATCGCTCTGCGACTTGCAATACGGTGGGCCGGCGATTGGCGTCATGGATGCGCGCGCGCAAGAAGGCCTCGGTGGCCGCGGCGTTAAGCACATAACGCGCTATGTGGGCAAGCGGGCATTTGGGCAGTGGGCGGGGCTGCCATCTTATCTTGGCTAAAAACGTACCCACCCCAGCCGCGGCATCACAATCATGCAGAGGAAGTGCCAAGTGAAGGCCCAGACACCTGGCGCGGGCCTGTCCGAGAGAGACACAATTCCCGCTCTCGTTTTTGTATGTGTGCGTGTAGTTGTAGAAACCCTTACTCTTTTAAGCGCCAGCATTGTCATCAGCACAGGCGGATGGGTATGGGCTCGCGATCTGGATGCATGCAGGCTCACTTGTCATGCAGATATCTGAGCTACGAAATGAGGTGGCTAGGTTTTTGTTTAAGATTGATACGTGCTCCACGCATGACATGGGACAGTGAGCAACGCGATTGGGTTTGGATGGTTGCGAGCAATTTGGCGACAGCGACAGCGCGATCTGCAAACGTGATTCCGCAAACTTGATTTCAAATCTAAACGTGATCCCATAAACGTGATCCGACGATAAACGTGATTCCATTAACTTGATTCCAAACGCAAACGTGATTTCAGATTTTGGCTAACTTGATATGGGAGATTTCCGAACACAAGTGCACGCATACCGATGTTTCTGCTGCCTCGTGTGGCAACGAGGCGGCCGGGTTTAACTGGTGGCGGTAGGCACAGAAAAGGACCCATCCCCATCCAATTTGTGATTGCAAAGCATGCATATTCCATTAAATCCTGTGTCTGTGATGCAAAAAATGGATGGGGATCGTGGATTTTGTTCTGTGGATAGGGATGTCGGATTTCCTGGAGGGCGCCGGCAGTACGTCAGTCGCCTTCGTCTTTTCAACCGCGGTGGTGATGCAACTTTATTCAAGCGGCTGAACAACGGGACCGTGTGGCTGGATCCGCCCATTACCGTGGACGAAGAAGATCCGAGCAACTACGGCGACATCGGCAGAGAGCTGTGGGCCCTGCTGGACGGCGGAACGCTGGTCGCGGGGAAAGACTATGTCCAGTTCGGGACTGTGGCCACTGGGGAGGAGGGCGGCACTTCGATCTTCCTGGACGGCGCGGGCATCGCGACAAAGCAGCCAGTGCGCCGCCTCTATGTGGCCGCACCGTTTGACCGTGTCCCCACTCCCGGTTCCGCTTACTCTTGCAATAACGATCCAATCCACATTTGTGGAGCCCTGCTGTACGCTCCTGCGTGGAGCCTGGATGAGTCGACAAGCTATCTACAGCACGCCTGGCACCTCCCGCCCCAGTCGTTCCGCCTTGTCCCGCGGACGATGCTCGAGGCCTCGGCTTCGTCCCTATTGAATCCCGGGGATGCCAGCGAACGTAGTCCTCTGAATCGAAAGCTGGGCCACGTGGATAGTTGCCAAGGATCCTTAGTCACGGCCACTACCAGTCTGGGGCAGTGGTGGGAAGTGAGCTTCAAGGACGGGCAACCCCGGCCCATCATGGGCTTCGTTGCGTTCAAGCAGACCCAGAGCAACTACGATAACAACATTGACGACGCGCCGATCTACCTCAATGGCACACTAAGAAGTGCCATTCGCAATATGCCCACCCTGCCTCATTGGAACGCCCGAGGTGTTCCAGACTTCCACGACGCGGGCACGTGGGTGTCCATTGGCCAGGACGCTTCAAAAATTCGCATATCCGACCCGGCTACCGCGAGGGCTAGCGGACTGAACGGCATCACGCTCTGTGGGTTTTGGTTGTTCCAAAGCTGTGTGGGGGCAACGTCTTCGGACGCCAACAACTATCGGCTCGAGAGACTAGCAGACCAGGGCGACCCGGCGGTGCGTCAGAGTTTTGCCTGCACAGAAGAACTCGGGCGGGCTTTCTCAGAGTATGACTACCTACCAGGGGTGAATGGGGAGGACGGAACTCTACCGGGGAACTGGCCCTGGAGGGAGTGCGTCCAGTGGTGCGCGCAGGAGCCGAAGTGCGGGGGCGTCGACTACGAGTTGGATGGCTGCTCCTACTCCCCAGCTCGCGGAATGTGCCGTCCCCGTAGAAGCGCCAGCACGCGCGCAGCGCTGGATCCCACCGCGGATGTCGCGCGGGACGCACGGGTTGCCCTGGTCATGACGGACGGCTGCCGTAGGAGTCTCATGCCCGCACGTCCGCTCCGCTTCGTCAGTAAGACCGACTTGACCACGTTTTTGCTGAACAATAAAGGTGGCTATCACCTTACCAGCACACCCCGCATCGACCGCTCTGCCAACGCGGAGTACGGCTCGTGCGCGGCGGCCAGTTCGGGCCTGTATGACGCTTCGGGCCCAGACAACCCCGACTACTCCTCGCGGGGCTTCTGCAATCGATACAGCCACGGAGAAACCAGCACCGATATCCTGCAGCTCGAGGTGCAGTCCACGGACACCGCGGGCAACGATGTCAGTGGTATGTACGTCGCGGGGGTGGTATCAACTGCAAATATGTCTTGCTCGTCTAGAAGGGTTGAACTTGTGATGCTGTCTTTGGATGCTAAACCTTAGAAATTAATGTTGCATGATCAGCAAGAGGAGACCAGTACTAGTTTGTTCCACGCGGAGAGGCCGTTTGTCATGCGGAATAGGCAGCAGAAAGTCCGGAAAAATTATCTGTGAAGATGCTGGCTCATGCATTACAGGCATCATGGTTGATGCAGAATATGTATGACAAACGCAAACCTGGCAATCTCCCAGACCCAGACATATTAATTTGCAATGCATAGTTGGTCCTGCAGATGCGGGCGGGGGACACCAACAGGGGAGTGTCGCGCGTGTACGTGCAGTACCTACCAAAGGGCAATCCGCAAATGGGCGTCTATGTCCCGGGATGCACGCGCAGCGATCCGAGGGGCTCGGCCGTGTGTTTGCACGGCTGGCGGGAGGTGGACAAAGGCGCCTTCCTGGAAACCGGGATGGACTGCCGCTCCGGAGAGGAGCAGTCGGCCCGTGTCCTCTACTTCGGGGAGCCCGTGTTGGCCAGCTCGATTCGGATCATTGGGAAGAGCCCGGGCCTGTCACCCTGCGACACCGCAAATGTCGCCTACCGCGCGGAGCTGATTCTTCGCGCCCACGACGGCGTGCGGCAGGTGGGGCGGCGCTTGGAAGCGGGAGACGGAAACCTGAAGATACCGGGGGACTTGTCCGTCTTCCCACCTGACTACGACGCTTGTCTGCAGTGGTGCGTGGACCATCCGACCTGCGTGGCGATCTCGTTTTACGAACATTACAAGTGTCAGCCCTTCAAGGCTCTGGGGAAGTACCAGGGGCTGGAGACACGTTTCAGCAGCGTAGTCACCTTCGTCTCGCACAAGTATCGGGTCAAGGAGCACGGCATGCGGCTCTTCTACAATCTGGGGACTCCAGGGTACCCCATGTGCCCTCCGGAGCTGCTATCCCACAGAGAGCTAGAATATTATCTCACATTTGTTCGTAAAAATAAATGTGAACTCACAGTTGTAGTTGAAAAATTTCCCATAGGGTATCCGTGTGTTTGCTGCTGCATATCCAAATAGTATGCTAGTGTGCTAGCTCCTTTCTGTGCGATAGCCGCTTGGTTTGCCAATAGCGGACGAGGATCATTGCGAAGAAGCGATACATATCCTCACAAAAAACGTCCCCACCGAGATTTGTATCAGTAGCTGGAACACCTACACCAACACTTGTAATGCGCATCCCCATGAGAGGGAGAGGGAGAGGTATCTCTCTGGTCGTGCTTCGTTTGGCATTCTTTGTAATCGCTGTTGTAACTAAAACTACAGGAACAGGATAAGCAGTGACCCGCACCTTGCTGTCCGTGCTAACCTGCACTACGATGCTCACAGATAGAAACTGTTGATGCGTCACTTCCAACACTTCTGGCTCTGTGTTGCGAAATTCCTATCGTGACTATGTCGAGGGGGCGGCTTTCCACAGGATAGTACACTTTATCCAATACCTCCGGGTGGAGCAGCGGAAAGGTCAAGCCCGTCGCTATCAACAGGAAAAATCCGCCCTCCCCATATCAAAGTGGCAATGAATCTGTGTTGCGGGATTTGTCTACACAAATCAGCTTTGTCTTTCAGTAGAGGACTGCAGGCAGATGCAGAGCCTAGAAGGGGCAGGCTAGACGTGGGCGCTCAGCTGCATGGCAGACGTCTCGTCTGCCCTGTAGTTGGCGCAAAAGCATTACCAATCGCCTGCGTCAAGCGGCCGACGCTCTGGCTTTGCTCTCCTGCAAGACAAACCAACCTGACTTGTGGCCACAAATCAGCATCACAAATTTTCAAAAGGATGCCTGTTCGATATGGGGAGGGGGGATTTTTCCTCACAATAGTCGCTCCGATGTGCTGGGTCACTTCGCTTACCAGCAGCCGCTCTCTTCCAACCCGGAAGGACCGGGGCCCAGCGCCTCGTGCAGGGACGCAGCAGGGGGCTGGAGTGAAGTTCCGTTCGGTTGCAGCGTGTCCAGAAAACCAGTGAATGTCGGGCGGCCACACTTCCGGGGTGGCACCCACACGGGCGGCGCACCCACTAATGAGATGTTTCTGGATCCGCGCTTATCAAAATGAAAAATCCCCCCTCCCCATACTAAAACGGAGACTTGTGTAGCATGATTGGTGACCACAAATCATGTCGTCACGCTAGAAGGCAAAAGATGCGGACTGTTGTGCTGGCTGGCGTGGGAACGCCTTGCATCTTCAGCATAAAAACAGGAGGCACCTGGAAGTGGGAAACAGCATGACAAACTGCCTGCAATTCAGGCCGCAACTGCGTCTCGTGGCCTTCTAGGAATACAAGTCGATTTGTATCCGCAAATCCAGCATCAGAAATTTCCTTTCCGATATGGGGAGGGGGGATTTTTCCTCGCAATAGCGCTGCCACCGCCTGCCTTATCAGGTGCTGTGTGTAAAGCGCGTGTACGTTGATTACTCCCTGTACCGAGTGCGAACCCTATCAAAAGGAAAAATGCCCCTACCCCATATTGAAACGGCGATTTGTGTAGGATGATTTGTGACAACAAGTCATGTTGTCATGCTAGAAGGCAAAAGAAGCGGACTGCAGTGCTGGGTGGCGTAGGGAAGCTTTGCGTCCTCAGCATGACACCAGGAAGCAACTGGAATAAATGGGAAACAGCTTGACAAACCGCCTGCAATTAAGGCCGCACCTGCGTCTCTTGGCCTTCTAGCAATACAAGCCGTACGCAAATGCAGCATCTAAGGACTGACCCCTAGCAATACAAGCCGTATTGGTTGAGGACTGACCCCTTCGTTCTAAGTGCCGTCAGCCATGGTATCCGCAAATGCAGCATCACAAACGTCTTTTTCAATATGGGTCGGGGGAAAAATTTTTCTTCGCAATAAACCAAAATAACCGGGGAGCCCGTCCGTTGTTACCGTGGTGCGGAGCGTGAGCAGCGCATCAGCAAGATTGAGTGCAAGGAGGTCGGCTTGGGCATGGCGTTGACGGCGCCTCTATTCTTGCCGTACTTGCGCGACCCATACCAAGGCGACCCACACGGTCTCGGTGGGCGAGAGCATTTTAAATGGGGAGCTGCAATGGAAGAGGGGGACTCAACTTCTGCCGGTTGCCAAACCGGGAGCTCAGGATGGTGCAGTGTCCCCGCCGGATGCTCATTGTCGGACACCAGTGGCCACGTCCACTGGAACAGTGCTAAGTTCGACGAGGCCTGTTGTGCAGTGGGGTACAATTTGATTTGCGGCACTCGGCAAACACCACCGCTGCCCTATCAAGAGGAAAAATTCCCCCTCCCCATATCGAAACGAAGTTTCTGATGCTGGATTTCCGTACACAAATCAGATTTGTCCTGCAGTAGAGGACTGCGGGCATATGTCAAGCCTCGGTCGAGAGGTTTTGACGTAGGCGCCTAGCATGGCAAACGTGTATGCTCTAAGCCCAACAGCATCACAAACCGCCTGCAAAATGCAGGGGGCTCTCTGGACTTGCCTTCTTGCAAGACAGACAAGATTTGAGGTCACAAATGTGCATCACAAATTTTCAGACGGATGCGTTTTCAATATGGGGAGGGGGAATTTTTCTTTACGATATGCCCCCGCCCCGGCGGATCCATCCCAAGTTCGAGCGCGATCGATTGTTTTTTACCCGCACCTATCAAATGTAAAAATGTCTGGGTCTGGAAAGATGCAACTTGTGATGCTGCATTTGGATTCCAGAAAAATCTGTATTGCAGGAGTACCAAAAGGAATGTAATTTTTGCTACGCGGAGAGAGCATTTGTCATGGGGAATAGGCATCAATAAGCTTTCAAAAAATCTGTGATGCTAGGGCATGCATCACAGACATCAGGGCTCATGCAAAACATGCATGACAAGTGTCAAGATCTTCCAGACCCAGACATTTTTACAGTTGATAGCACCGAGGATGTCACGGACCCCACCCGGATTGCCGCGCAACCCTTTCGTATCCACGACTACCCGGCCATGAAGTGGTGGCACCAGGTGGAGGGCCACCCCCTGGAGCTGCGCGTGGACCTGGACTGGGAGGACCACGGGTACGGAAAAAGGGCTGCGGGGATTCTTATCAAGTTGTTCTGCTCTCCCTTTGCGACGCTGATGGCCGAGCGATGGATCAAGCAGGTTCCGCGCAAACGAAAAACGGAGACGCTGCTCTTCTATCGCGACGTGGACGACATCGTTGCGTTCGCCTATTCCGTACGCATTGCAAAATAAAATGTCTGCTGGAAGGTCTGGAAGTAGCTTGTATATGCTATGTATAGAAGTGTCGACGCCCGCGACATGAAAATGAAATGATACGTCGCCAAGCATGAAAATTTTCGTCGAGGTTCTGGCCCTAGTAGATCAATGTCCTGCAGCATTCGAAGCTGCTTGCGGCGGCAGTGCAAATAAGAGTTCTTCGTTCAGATAATGCGTAAAAGCTGGCACGACGAGAGTCGCCATCGTGAAGGGTGCGCCTGATATCACCTGACTATGTGGCACTTCTGATGCTGATCAGCTTTGTGCATCACAGGTTTACTTATTTGGTGTTATTCAAAATCGAAATGCGAATGCGCCATGCAGCGAGACTCTTTCAGTTTCACCAACCTGACGATATCTCCCTACTCTCCCAACCAGACCAGCCAGACGTGATATTTGCATTCGATATCCCTACTCCAACGACAATATCAAATGTAAAAATGTCTGGGTCTGGAAGATTGCGAGATTTGTCATGCATATTTCGGATCACGCAAATGGCGTCTGATGCAGGCAAAAGCATCACAGGTTTTGAGCACGCCTCATGATGCCTCTCCCGCATGAGAAACTTCTTACTTGCGTGCCAAGAAATGGACAGCCTTTGGCGCTCATGCAACACAAATTTTTGTGTGTTCCAGAGTTTGCATCACAAGTTCCAACCCTTCCAGACCCAGACACTTGTACATTTGATAGACAAGGAGATGCGCACGTGCTGGTACGAGTTTTACGCCAAAGTCGGAGACAAACCGGGGCAGATATTAAAGTGAAAAATGCCCCCCACCCCTGAACTTGCAAAAATTTGTGATGCGAAGTTTCCAAATGAAAACTTTTTGCCATGCATGAAAGGAGTATGGATCTTTCTGATGCAGAGTCTAGGCGAGGCGTGTATCGCATCGCTTGCATGACAAGCGCCGCTCTTGCTGGGGTCTCTTGCAATACAAATTTCCGCTATTCACGATTGGAAACCTGTGATGCTGATAGATGCAAGAGGGCGAATGTTTCATTTGGAAAGGTTTGCAATACAAATGCTCCCAAGTTCGTGGGTGGGGGCATTTTTCATTGTAATAGCAGAAGTTGTTGCTTCATCATTTCTGGGTGACTGTCCGGTACTATCCTACGCAACACCTGATCACCCCCCTGGTCATTTGTCATGGACCAAAAAAAAGTAGCTAGCACAGGTCCGCCAAGAGGTAGCTCTCGCTCTGTAGGCGTCATGTTCATTTTGGACGATGGCAAAGAAATCAAACTGAAACTCGCGTACAATTGATGACGTTTTGCTGAGCGCGGGTGGCCGAAAATATACGCTGCCGGCCCATTTTTCACCACCCCCTGCCAGGCGGCTAAAAAGGGAACTCCCGGATTCGCGCTGAAGGGAGCGAACAGGAGCAAGATCATCGGGATAGGATCCTGGTTCCGGCTGAATTTGTTACCCTGCTCGGTGTTAAGTTTCACCTATGTCGTGACAGCATGATGACGAATGATCAATATGAATTCATGTGCAAGCAGAGCGTGCAGACACTTGTCTCTCTCATGCGAAGAACGCTGCGTGAGCGTGTCGTCTTTTACTGCTGCTCAGATCAACATGATACATACCATACAAAGAAAAGGGTGGGGGCAGGTGTTGCGCAGGATAAGCACGAACCATCCGACCCGCGGACGCTAGCGACGTTGAGAAAGCGGGCCACGAATAAAGAGCCGGCGCATTTGGAATTGTAAAGACCGCAGCGAGAAGGAGAAAAAGAAACTACACTGGCAGCATGTGCGACGCGGCTATCGTTAACAAGCAACAAATTTGCGTTCCGTACTACTCACGACCATACTTCTGATTGATAGATTTGTTCGTCAATGTGGTGTCTACAAAAATGGAAGTGCAATGTTGATACAACGTCCCTATCTGGAAATAGCGCTAAATGGCGCTGACTGTGGACTCACTTCGGTGTCCAAGGCACTTGCTCCGCTTCTTTTGTACAAACGAAAAAGGTAGCTGATAAAGAAGGAAAACAGAGTGCAAAGGAGAGGCTGGCTCCTACTTTACTATTATTGCCGGCCAAAGGAATGATTTGACAATCTGGAGCAAGAGCCGTGTCAAAAATGAAAGTGAGACGAAAGAGATTTGACGACGATGAGGAGCGAGGGAAGCTGCTTCTGGTAATCTTGTTAATCCTTGAATATCAATGGATACAACTCGATGCACATAGATAGCTCCTGGCGTTGGGGTGGCAAGCACATCGTCGCCTAAAAGCAGCCTGCTGACAGCAGTAGGAACTAAAACTATGGTAGGCGCTCTTTCAGATCCGTACCTTGCGACGTCTCTTTTCCGAGTGTGGAGTCTTGGCAACCCTAGCAGTGGTGGTCTATCGGGTGCAAATCTGTCTGGGCTAGCGCTGGGATGAGGATGCAATCAACTTGTGATGCTCAATCCAGAAAGTTTCTTTGATGTGCGATTGCCTGAGAAGCAAGTCTTGCTGCCCTATTTTTTGTCGCACAAAGAAGCAGCAGCTGCCCCAGCATCATCTCTGGGAACGTTTCATTAAACACTGATGCAGCGTTGGCATGCAGATGCATCACAAACTCAAACGTTCTACTGAGTTGAGAGGAGTCTGAAGCATGCAAACAGTGTGTGCTGAAATTGAAAAATGAACAGTACTTATTGTAAATATGAAAATTCTATAGCCTGCTCCCTAACAATCCGTAGGAGATTCTCCCTCTGATCGTGCCAGTCTGGACCGCGGTTACTACCGGGGGCTAACCAAGCTCCGGCGACAAGCGCCATCCAACCAAGCGCACAAGAATGTCATCACTTTTCCAGCCGGACACCCGGACATTTTTGCGTTTGATGTGTTCCCGTCGATGAAGATTCCAGTTATGATGTTGAGCGGGATATGCGTTTCTTACGTGCCGGCGGTCGAGGCAGCGGTGGTGGGGCTGCGCACGGCGCGTGGTTCTACGTGTTGGTGACCCTTCCTGTGCTCCTATTGCTGGCCGCAATTCGCATTTATGTCCTGTATACTGGCGGCCGCTTTCTTATGGAAGTGCCACCTGGAGAATCGCCGAAATGGAAAAAATTTGTGATGCATACTACAATGAATTTGAATCGACACAGGTCCAAATCAATGGGCCCACCAATTCATTTAGTTGGTGGCGGCGCACGACGAGTCTCTATGCCTACGTAGATAAAGTAAGATCCAGTCTGTCACGCTGTTTGAGTCGAAAACGAAAATCTGAAAGCCCCATGTTCGCCATGCTGTTGTTTAAGTTTAACATTCTTTCCCATGAGTCTGCACCTGTTTGCGATCGGCTTCATCATTTGCGTTCCCGCGATTTATAATAAGGACATTTTGTGCGTCGGGCATCTCATGCATGGTGTTGCACCATAATTGCTATTCCATTTTATTGCTTTCCCACCAGGTGAGGCATCCATATTTACCGGACTCGTGGCCTCGCTCCAGCTTCGCCCCCTTGGTGGCGCTGCGCAGGCGGAGAAGGTCGCAGGGCTTGCCTGTTTGTCCGGATGCTGCACACTGGACTTCTGGGCGTACTGGTGCTGCTGCTGTTCCTTCTGCGTGCGCCCTTGCAGATCAACCCCACCGGCTGCGGGGCCCCCCTCGGTGACCAAGATTGCGCCAAAAGGGGAGAGCCAGATATCAGACGTGTGAAAAGCAGCCATATGTTTTCTGTAGTTGGCTCTACAAAATGAAATTATACAACAAGAATTAATTTGCGATGTCGTTCTTGCACCATTTTCCTCATCGGAGCATCATCATGATCGAAACAAAAGTAAGCGTGGTCAGGTCGTTTTTCATGCGTGGTGTGTGCTTGCTATTGCGACCGTTATATAGTCGTGATGTAGAATCAGAATGTTCATGTTGACGGCTCACACCTTTTTCTGTTCCTAGCAAGGCATCAGCATCTGCAGCGTGCTGCAATCGGCGACGTGAGAAAGTGTCGCCGGCGCCGTCTGTTTAGCCTGACAAACAGATTTGAAATTGGCAGCTTCTACAATGCAGGCTTTCGAGAAAGACAAGGCACGTCACAGCACTCCTACTTACAAGTATTCAGTTAGTATTTCCCCCCCTGCAACATGACAAGACCAAGACATATGCACTTCAATCTACAGTGGATACTAGAAGGACAATATCGCACATGAAAGACTGTTTGAAGAATGGTGTAGTACTAGTTTGATTGTCTTGATGACCTGCTTCTCTCGCAGTAGCAGCACTGGATGCCTGATGCGGAAAAATGAGGATCAAGAAGGAAGTGTGGCTGCTGATAGTCATTGAGAATTTTACAGCGTAGCTAGCGGGCATATTTTTTCGCCACTTGCGTTATTTCTCCTTTTTATTTCTACCCGTCACAGGAGCAGGACGAGCTGCACAGTCGCACTGTTTGCGGTTTCATTTCGTCGTTGGCATGTAGTTAAAGAAACCGTGTCAGCCGGTGACTGCGTTCGTTGGATAGATCAAGAATATTTCAGCATGCTTTGATTGCCTTTTTTTGTGCGATATCAGAGGGGACACGACCATTGGAACCCACAGATCGTGACGTTGGAGTTGACCCACCAGCATCCCCGCACCCGCTGACCCTGCGCGGCGACTCGGCTCCCGGTCGCGGTGGGGCTAAAGAGCAGAAGCTTGGAGGCGTCCGCAGAGCCGGCGCGTTCGTCGGCAAGCAACTGAGCGCCGCACGGTATCAAAAGGAAAAATCCCCCCTCCCCATATCGAAAAGGTATGTTTCCGAAAATTTCTGTTGCTGATTTGAGGTCACAAATCATGTCTGTCTTGCAAGAAGACAAGGGCAGAAGCTTCCGCCCCAATATGGAAGCGATTTGCCATGCTGTTGGGCCTAAAAGTGACCCGCTTGCCGTGCTGAACAACTAGACCCATACGCCCCTACCCAGCCTGGGGATCTGGCCGCAGTACCTCTCTGCAATACAAACCCGATTTCGGTACACAAATCCAGCATCAGAAATTCCGTTTTGATATGGGGAGGGGGGATTTTTCCTTTCGATACACGGGAAGCAGTCGCTTCTCGCTTTAGCGGGGGAGCTAGGAACAGGAGAAAATCCGACCTACCGGGGGAAGCCTGCACTTTGTATCACGTGGCCCGCGACGGCAAGCCGTTTTTCGATGCGAGTGAAGATTCCGGCGCAGACGGTGCGAAGTGTAGAAGCGGCATACACGATCATGATCGTGGTCGGGTCGCACCAAGTACCGCGTTGACGCCCCGGCTATCAAATGTAAAAATGTCTGGGTCTGGAAGATTGGAACTTGTGATGCTAACTTTGGAATGTAAAAAAATCTGTATTGCATGACCAGCAAGAGGAGCCACATTTGTGCTACGCGAGGAGGGCATTTGTCATGCGCAAATGGCATCAGGAAGCTTTCCAAAACTCTGTGATGCTGGGTCATGCATTACAAGCATCATGGGTCATGCCAGACAAGCATGACAAGCCTTCCATTCTTCCAGACCCAGACATTTTTACAGTTGATACCGGCGCCGCAGCATCGAAGAAATCTTAAACGATTCGGATCGCGTATGGATGTGTCAGAGTTGAAATCGTCAAAGTTGAAATGATTTGTCATGCAAAAAATGCGACACAATATTGCAGAGGACGCACGGGAGGCAGATCATAGTCCTGGTAAGGGTCAAAAGTTGGACTGCTGACTAGCATGACAGAAGGCACCTCTTTTGCCCTGAACCGCATGACAGACTCGCTTCCAGGACCGGGAAAATTTGTCATGCACCGACTACAAACTGTAGGCCTAATTGGTATCCGTTTTATGCATGACAAACTATCTCAACTTTGACGATTTCAAACCTGACACATCCATATCGCGTTCTATCGAAGTCCCCGCGCTATGCCTGGAGTATGTTTAACTCAAGTCAGGGCCATGGTCAGCGACAGCTGGTGGTACAGGCTAGCTGTGCGAAAATGCAAGAACTCTTGTTGTCTTGCCGATACTTATCAGTCCGTGTGGCTTGTTGTCGTGCACTTGTTTTTCCAACATGGAAAAAATAGCAGTGCCTGGTCGGGCACCTTCTGCCTGACAAAGATACAAGCAGAAGCCGAAACTGGGTAGGAAGTCGAAACATAAAAAACCCACTACAGAAGTAATAAGTGACGCGACACAACATTTTACGTAGCATGTTTTACTTCCTGTACTTTACTTACCTTAGGTATTCGATTTTTGTTTTGGAAGCCTGACGCGGGTAAGATTTTTCCAGTCGAAACGCTCGGAAGCGCAACAAAATACTGCGAGACGAGCGGCAGTCGGTTTCCGTCCCCCAATAGCAGCGGAGCTGGGAAATATCCAAGAAGAAAACTCCTTTACTGTGGTCCTGCATTTGTAAAGGGTGCAGCACAGTTGGCTTGCATGGCTCATATATAAAGTGAGCGCTGAAATGAAATAAAACTCTTTTACGCTTCGGTTTTTTTTTTGGGATGTCCGCCTTTCGCTGCAGCTGCTTTGTGTTTATGCAAGAGAAGCCGCTTGGCAAACGTCCTCCAATCATGCATCATGTTTGTCACAGTGAAGCCTTTTTTTTGTGTGAAACGAAATCGTGCGGGAAGAACAAACTTCTTGCGGCCCCAGGAACGGGCCCGCACACCGACTCCCGGCGTTCGCCGTCACCGAGGGGGTCACCAAGGGGATCACTCACTGTGCATGCAGCGACCTCGCCGAGAACTTCGATTGCATCCCTGAGAGGTTGAAAAGAATATTCTGCAACAAGGGATAGATACCCTCTTGCGGTGATTACGCAGCGGAGCCAAGGGCGTTCTCTTCATTTTGAAGATTTTTTCGCAGCAACTGCATATGCGAAGAATCTTGTTATCGATGGTGGAGCGAACACAGAATAGCCGATCATCAGATTGTTTACCGATTCGATTTACCGACGGGATTTTTGTTTCTGCAATCTGCGTTGAAAAAAAGAAACTGAAGCTGCAAATTCTTCTTGTTATCTGATGATAGTTTTGAAGTCTGGAAATCGATTTCTTTCCTTGGGTTTTTGAAGAGACAGCAGCAAGATGTGAATTGCCGCCAGACGTATGCAGTCATGGCTGCAAAAGCCAAGGTGTATCTATCATATCAGTCGACTCCGCCCTGATTGTATCGATATCATAAACATAGAGCATACAACTTCTAATGGGAGCTCGGACGCACGAGCGTGTTTCCTTTCTTCGTCTCGAACTCGATTAAGTTCTGGGAAAAGCTTTCATTCTGATGTTCACTTTGCGCATACTTATGTACGGACTCACATTGTATTCGCAAGTATTGATCATCTTTGCGTGCAGTAAAGAAACCTAAGGCGATGACGGACGAGTGCAGCTGTCTTGCTGAGCGAGCAACTGCAGTGACATTGAGGTCTACTTAGTCACTAGGCTCGGCGATTTGTGTGGGCAGCTAGAAATTAGGAGCATGAAAGCAAAGAGCATGATCCAGCTGCAGGAGATACCTATTCTGAATGCTCGGGGTATCATGCCTGTGATGCACACGCACAGCGAGAATGACAACTGACGTGTGACTTTTATCCTGAAACTACCCAGTTGGTTCCGTTTACGCCAAAGGGCCCGTGTTCTTGCTGCGCCTTGGCTGCGGTACGTACGTTGATAAGACTTGGTCAACAAGTAGAACTACCCTAAGTACTTACACACCGGGCCAAGAAGTAGAACATGCCGCCCCGTGGGTCCGCTGGTGGTTCCTCCGTGGCGTCCGTCATAGATGGAGTCAATACTTACATACAAGCCGGACCGGGAGGCCTCAGCGTGCTGTGCTTCTTCTACCCAGTGCAAATACTGACAGGGTGACTCAGAAGTCTGGATTAGAATGATCGCAGCAAAATTTTATCACGGAGGATTAGCACGAGCGGCTAGTATTCTTTTTATTACGGCAGGAAATCGTCAAAAGAGAGGTTATGATTTTATTTAGTTTTCGGGGTGGTTTTGTATGTAAAGGTACTCTCCAAGTAGTCTGCTGGAGGAAAATAATTGCCAACATGCTACAAATCTAATAAATGCGTGGTGTTTCCTCGTGTGTGTGTGTGGAAACGCGGATACAACTTTGCGCAAAGCATGCTAAGTATGGAGTTTGAAGGGAATCAATTGATGGTGATTGGATGTTTGTGCCAGCTAGACGGCAGCATTCGTTTGAACCCAGGGTGCTGCATACTGGTTAATATTTGCACATTGCATATCCGCATAGGAATCGCCACGATGGTCGTGGGTGTAATGGGAGTGCTCGAGGAAGTTATGGACCTGTCTCTGTTCATATGCGACGCAACTATACAACCGCCTCTGCCCCTTCGAATCTTCATGACAGCTGGTGAGCAGCAAAAAGATACCCGTGCGATACTCATGTCACATTTTAGACGTGTAGTGAAGATCCAGGACACGAGTGTCTATGCAAGCTAGGTGCAGGCGCATGAAAAGCGAGAAGCATGTAGTATCGACTTCATTTTCCCTCTTTATGCAGCGATGGAGGGCCCTCACCCTCCTCATGTGCGCGAGCTCTTCATACCATACATGTGTGGGTTTTCGGGCGTAGTTTCACTGCATAGGTCAGCGACCCGTTCGACTTCGTACAATCTCTTCAGCTGTCAAATGTCAATCTTCTGTACCTCCATCCAAACTACAGACTGATTTATTTCGAAAAACCAGATGAAGAAGTCAGGCCTTTTGTTAAGGTCGTATGATGATCTCTGTTAGCTGGAGGACGGAAGGTCCTCGAGGGACCTCGTTTTGAATTTTTTAAGAAAAAATCTAACTCCCAATTGATGGCGCTTTCTGCAAAAACAAAAACACTTATCCATATAGACTCTGCACCTCTATCTGTGTTTCTTCGGGTTTACTGCGGTGCTGCTAGAGTCGGATGCGGAACATATTGAACTGAAAAGTTGTTGTGCCGCTGCGCCGCCATCACGGGGAAATGTTTGCATTACAGCGCTCTGTGGGGAAGGTCTTTTATGCACCACCGACACAATTACTTGTCATTGTCAACCACGAATTTAGCCGAAATAATGATGAATCTGTGTAGTTGCACACTAGAGACGATGTTGCACGAGTAAAGAGGCGCGCCACGCCGAGATGCGCCGTTCCTCCATGGAAGCATAAGGCTTCTTTGGGCGTGGGCCCGAAAGGGAGTCTTTGCACGACACGAACGTGTGTGCCGTTTTGAAGCGGGGCACTTTTCATTCTGATAAAGCGAATCAAGGACGTCCCCGTCGTCGGTCCCCTTTCCGTGCATTTACACGCCTATCAAAAATTCGTCAACGAGTACGCGCACTTCCTCACGCACATACGCGGACGGGGCGGTTATCCTGTGCAGAAACATCCCCGCCCCGGAGTCAGGTCGGGAATTCTGCAACACAAATGAAGAAGTTTTTCTCTGTATTGTAGTGCAGGTTACCTCGAGCTCCAAGAACAGCCGCATCACAAAGCCGCCAGCTAATCCTGTTTACAGCAGTACAAAGCGCCAGAAGACGAATGGAAATGCCTCCGAGGCGCATGCGCATTACAAGCGTTCCTGTAATTGCAGATCTACATGACGATTTTGGTTGACAGCTATTTGCGGCCATGGGCACAGGGGGAGGCAAAGAGTGTCGCGCTTCTGTTTAGCATGACGATGGTGCGGGGTTGGGGAAGTTTTTGCTCAGGATCGCGGTTTCTACATATTCATCGGCACCTTTTGTTACGTCGAGCGGAAAACAAGGCTGCTCTTGCACTAGTAGTGCAGTTGTCCTCGGAAGGCGACCTAAATCAATGCGTAAACTAGGTACTTGCAGCAGGAGTTCAGTCTTATGCCACTGGAGGGCTTCTGCAATGAGACAGGCTCCTGCGAGGACGTGGGGTAGATTGTATGATCCATGGTAGCACGTTACAGAATGACCACCTGTGCACCACAATTTCCCATCCTGATGCAGATTGAAATTGGCATTCCGTTCGTTATCCGAGACTACAGCTACTGCTTACATTGGCACCACACGTTTTCATTTCATATCTGCATCACTGAGTGCATACTCTGCCCGCTCTTCCTGGTAAAAGTAGTCTTTTTTGCCTACAAAAGCTTCTCTTCGTGCCGAATGAAATGTGATGATGAAAGAGATGCTGGCTCGCAGATTTCTCGTGCTTGCGCTTTACCATTCAGCTGCATATTCGCCATGCAAGCGCTGCTGCGTCGAGATCAGGATCGATTATGCTGGCAAAACTTTACACAAAAAGATTCGCCCCAGTGCCAGTGTATCATATCAGATATTCCGATATTGGCTTCTGCACGCGCAAAGAAATCCAGACTACAAGAAAATATTGAAACCTGCAGGTCGGCGCTGCAAACGGAGCGGTTGGAGTATTGCTCATGTTGCTGTCGTTTGGATACAAACCAGATCTCAGCTCACAGAACGTACTGTCGAAAGTCTGAACAGAAGTTCCATAGTTGGGTGGTCGGCTGGTCATCTATACTTACATGTGCAGTTGTAAATAAAGCTTTCATCAGGTGCTGGATGATTAAAATATCAAGCCCTGTTCTACCTCCGGGGGCACGACAGAATTAGCTAGTTGATGCTCCTGCCCGAGGCGGTACAGCACTTCTAAGTGTGTAACTAGGCAGGCGCCCACACAATTGCTGTAGATTCATCTCTGACTGATCACAGCGTGTTCTGCTTTTGTTCGAAACGGAAGATAGGAATTGCGACCGTGACTGTGCCCGACCGCTAGCTGTTGGTTGTGAGAGTGAGACTTCTGGAGGTTGCACCTGGTGCGCCATTTATGGAGGTCGAGGTCGAACTGTTGTTTCCATTCAAAATCTCTGCCAACAACTGTTCTTGCTTCTTTTTCAGCAAGGTGCCCTCAAAAAACGTGCATGATGAAGAACCGAGGTTCCTATCCGGCAGCTGCTTCGTCAAGCACCTTTGTAGGTACTGGAGGTCCTTTTCTGCCTCCACTTTCCCCCGCAGCCAGACGCAGGTGTCATTTTCCTTCAGCGTGAACCCCAGCTGGTGGAGCAGCGCTTCCAATTTTTTCGATCTCCCCGTCATGATATCGTCCGAAGGAGAAGCAGCAGGAGCAAGATCTCTCGTTGTTCTTTGGCGCTCCTGGTGGTCGTGCGACATGATCTGCAACGCGCTAGAATCTTCATTTTTCTGCTCCTCGTAGTTCTCCTCCTGTAAAAACAACAGCGGCTCCAACTTCTGCTGCAGAGTGGCGTTGCCTGGCCGCATATGAAATGCAACCATGTCTGGGTCTGCAAAAATTCTGAGACTTGTCATGCACGTTTTGCATGAGCCATGATGTCTGTGATGCATGCCCTAGCATCACAGATTTTTTTGGGGCCTCCTGATGCCTATACCGCATGACAAATGCCCTCTCCGCGTAGCAGAAAACGCATTCCCTTTGCTGCTCACGCAAGGTAGATTTTTTTGGAATCCAAATGCAGCATCACAGGTTGCATTCTTCCAGACCCAGACAACATATTTGCATTTGATACCGCAGCCGGCGAAACTTGTCGTTGTTGGGGTCATATCAAATGTAAAAGTGTCTGGGTCTGGAAGATTGCCAGGTTTGTCATGCACATTTTGCATGACTCCTGATGTCTGTGATGCATGCCCTAGCATCACAGATTTTGTGAGGGCTTCCTGATGCCTGTACCGCATGACAAGTGCTCTTTCCGTGACTTGGACTCTCTTTGCTGCTCATGCAATACAGATTTTTTTAGAATCCAAAATCGGCATGACAAGTTGGATTCTTCCAGACCCAGACATTTTTACAGTTGATATGTGCCCGACCGCTAGCTGTTGGTTGTGAGAGTGAGACTTCTTGAGTACAAGAATACCGTCAGGCCCTACGGCTGAAGATCTTCCTCCATTTCTTCTCTGTCGGTACTACATGTGTGCTGTATGTTTTCAGATCCTAGCCCTAAAAGCTAGATCTGTGTCTTGATTTCTATTCTCTGACTATCTCTTCAATATCCGATAATTACTATCGGCATTATCCTCATCAACGAAAATTATTTTCCTTGTCACAGGACCCAGGTGATCGTGTTTTGGCACGCCCAACAAACGTGGACGACCAGGATTTCTTGAGTAGCAAAAGAAGTACTGGCCTTCGTTTTTTTTTTCTTTTTCTTCATCGGCTCGGACGCCTGAGCACTGCACTTTATCGCCCTTAGGCACTAGCATTTGAACTTGACAAAAATAAATATCATCCTCTTTGGTTGAGTGCAGAGTTGAATATTAGCACAGTATTGAATTCTTTCGAGAAGTGACAAGTAAGACCGACATCAATAGGGCCATCGACAGTGTCGTCTTTCGGAATCTTTAACAATGGCGCCCCAAAGTAGAATCAGCGGAAGGATAGAGGATCCTTTGCTCTCGTTTGACAAAACGGAGTTACCAGAGGAAAAAACGAGCGGAGCGACTTCTAACAAGACGAGTGCGGCAAGGACTCCGGATAACTTAGTGTCGGCGGACGTTTCGTCTGCGACCGCTGGTCCTACCCCCGCTCGGTCTTTGCTTTTCATGAAGCTGTTCTTCACCGCACCACCGTTGTTTCTCCTTGCTCTCGGCTTTTATCGCGGCGTCGCGCGGCATAATCCGTACGTCCAGTATGCTGTGCTGGTCGCCAGTGAAAGTGTTTTTGGCGGTAAAAAAAATCATGGTAGCTCGTCCTTAGCAGCCGACGTCGTTGTAACGCCACCAGGACGAGACGACGGGGAGACCACCGTGTCCGTTGCTGTGGCGAGGAAGCCCCACGCTCAGCAAGTGTTAGACGCAGAAACAGTGCGTTCTCTTGTCGGAAAAACGAAGGAAAGAAGTACTACTACAGCAAACGCTGGCGCTAGATCACCAGCCCCCGCAGGGCACCAGCAGCAAGAAGACGCAGCTAACCTCCAGGAGTTGTACGTGTGTCAGCTCTATTCACCGCAAATTACATGCCTGGGTCTGGAAATAGTTTGTGATGTCCGCGCTCCCCGTGAGAAACTAATAAGACGACTTAATTTATTAGTTTGCATGAAAATTTTTTGAAACCCAGGTCTCAGCACCGCACAACTCGCTTGAGAAAAAATCACGTCTTTGCATGACCAACTAAATAATTTACCCGGCGTTAACTCATCCGCTGCTCGTGCTTCATTCGAGACGCCCCAACAAGAGACGTGTGCTCCACATTCTCCCAAAGCAAGTCATATTTGCGGTGGATAAAGAGTTGGTCAACCACACACTCGGCGTGCTGTCTGCGAGCAACACCGGGCAAATAAATCACGACTTCTTCAAAGGTTCCGACCTCAGGGAGCTGTACAACCTGCGGCTTGATAGTCATGTCGACACGGGCAAAAAAATTCTCCTACAGGGTGACCACGTCACCAAGGTGTTTTCCACAAGGAGCAGCAAGTTCGATCCTGACGACAAGACGTCTGTTATTACCCATGGCGAGACGTCAATCGAGGAAACTTCTGCAAGTGCAACACCGAGCGCGGCGGCTGCTGCGCAAAAACTGGCGTCGCGAAAAAATAACGCAACAACCACCTACACGTCGCCGACGCCGTTTGTTCCTTTCGGGGACTGGATCTTTGATCTGCAGAAACTTCGCGAGGAAATTCAAGCAAACAAGGACCGTTTCGTATCAAAGTGAAAAAAGCCCCCACCCCATATCGGAAACGGAAGATACGCGAATTTGTGATGCTGTATTTGAGTACACAAATGGACTTGCATTGCTAGAGGGCCAAGAGACTAAGCTGCGGCCTAAATTGCAAGTAATCTGTCATGCTGTTTCCCACTTCCAGTTGCCTCCTGTCATCCTGGAGCTGCAAGGCTTTCCCACGCTAGACAGCACTACAGTCCGCATCTTTTGCCTTCTAGCATCACAAAGCTGATTTGTGACCCCAAATCTGCATCACAGATTTCCGTCTTGATATGGGGAGGGGGGATTTTTCCTCTCAATATTTCGTCGTTGTCCACGATTTTTTGTCGCCGGAGTTTCTCGCCCGAGTATTCTATTTAAAAACGTCCCCACCCCATAGTTGTAATGCAAATCTGCATGCTGAAAATGTTTCTCATGCGGAGCCCCATGAGAAGCATTTTCCAATCGTGTTTTGCAATTTGTCGTGCTCCAATCAGCATGGTATGCTAGATCTGTAATGCTGCTGAGCTACCTCAAACAGCACTACACTACGAGTCCAAATTTGTCATGCAAAACAGACAAGACTTGTGGACTTCTCTAGCCGATTGCCCATCTTGACTCTGGTGTGGGTACGTTTTTACTCAGGATACCGAGTGACTGCCGCGTATCCCGAGGTTGTAGTCAACGAAGTGTTGGACGGGGAAAAAATGAAAAATGACAAAAGCAGCCCCAAGCTCAAAAGCGAATCTGTGTCTGGTGCACAAAACATAGGAACGGAAATGAACAACACTACAACAGAAGAACTAGTGCCATCAGAAGCTGCTGAGTCCATATCCAGGAAAAAAACTGTGTCAGTGTAACTTTTTTCGGACGAACAGCATCACAAATGAATATCGGACGAACAGCATCACAAATGAATTATGGTAAAAATATCGGCGCGGTTCTTTTAGAATCACAAATGAATAAATATACCTGGCATGATTGAGGACAGCAAAATAAAGTTGCCATACGAAGCAAGTACTGGGTGGAGAGTTGTACGTGATAACACGACACATCAGATACGAAACTTGCCTGCGACAACGCATGTCAAGCATGACAACAAGGTTCACAACTGTTTTGCGGCGTCTGTACTTGTTCTGCAAAGTTACGCACAGAAGTTTTTGTCTTGCATAGTCTAACTGGTTCATGTACAGCAACCCGTTGGAGGTCAAGTACTTGAACGATCACTTCGAGCGGTACCAAGCCGACCTGAAACGGTATTTTCACCTTTTATCCCACCCGGTCGTTGCCCATGTGTTCACGAAGCTCTTCGACTTTTCGGAAGCACTTCACTACGATCCAGTGATCCACGGTGGGGGATTGCACGCGATGCCACGGGTATCGCCAGAAAGAACTGTTTCACTGTAAACTTGTAATGCAGAAAATGTATTTCACAAGTGTTTGTCTTGCTAAACATGCAAGACAGTGGAGTTTTAGCTGTGTTTTCCCTTAGGAACCTTGCATGGCAAATTTTCTTTGTCATGTAGAGCAAACTTGTGATGCAAAACCTGCAAAATCCTTGCAGTGAGACACTTTTTTCGTACGATAACGGGGTGGCCGGCTGAACATGCACCTGGATTACGAAAAGCACCCCTTTCTGAAAAACAAGCAGCGGCGATTGAATGTGATTTTCTTCCTCAATGACGAGTGGCGGGTATCCGATTGCACATCAGAACCCGCATCCCCCATCATTTGTTGAGTATCTATGCATTAGAATAGCATGAAATTGTTCATGCGTAACGATCGAAGCTTAAGCTTTCACTTTAATTATTACCAGAAATTTAGCGCATGTGGCAAGAAACACAAGAAAGGAATTTATTATCCACGTGCTTGTCCTCGTTAGAGACTCCGGCCCGTGGTTTTTACTAGGCTTCTGCACCTTGTCAAATGCAGTGTGCTGCAGTTAGAGAGCAATAAGGACAACGGGAGTCCGAATGATGGAGGGGAGGCAGAGTTGTGCACTCTCATAGCGTGAGGAATGGAACGGAGACGTCCAATTGTGGTCGTCGAAGAGGACAGGAAGTGGCACCCCGGCAGGTGGAGGTGACGCGGCCGAAAATAAAGTGGAAGACGGCACAACAACCATCGGCGTTGGTGTAGTCGAAGCGCATGGGAAAAATCAGGAAGCCGGAGAGGTTGCTGAGGGTACAAATAAAATGTTGTCCGAAGCAGGGCCGGATGAGGTAACCGGAACAAGAAGTCGAAGCGCTTCTTTATCATCGCGTACTACTAGTACTATCAAAAATATAAGTAACCCGATGGACATATCCTGAGTAAAAACGTACCCACACCAGAGTCACCACGGGGATTTTGCAACACAAGCCTAGGAGTTTTGTGAGTCACGCATGACAAGTTGCACTCTGCAGTGTAGTGCAGGTTAGCAAGTGCAGCCGCATCACAGATTCATCTGCTCATCCTGTTCACAGCATCACAAATTCCAAAACACGATTGGAAATGGCTCTCATGCGGATGCGCATTACAAGTCTTCCTGTCTTTGCAAATCTGCATCACAACTCTGGCGTGGGTACGTTTTTACTCAGGATAGGACAAGATGCTGACCCGGCACTACCCGAAAAAAAACTCGGTCATCATCTTATCAACTGCAAAAGTGTCTGGGTCTGGAAGAATGCAAGTTTGTTATGCTTGTCTCACATGATTCTTAAATTTGTCATGCACATTACCCAAGAGCCCCATTTTGCTGTCATGCAGAAACGCAGTTTGTCATGCAGATTAGGCAACACCTCTAAGCTCAAAAGCTTGTCATGCTGAGCCAGCATTTGTGGCCTCTTCATGATACGCCACCCAGCATCACAAGTTTCCAGACCCAGACACTTTTACAATCCATACATCTTCAAGACGGACGAGGAATCCTTCCACGGGGTGCCGGACGTGTTGCTCAATCCGGCAAACTATCAAGTGTAAAAATGTCTGGGTCTGGAAAGTTGGAACTTGTGATGCTAACTTTGGAAACTAAAAAAATCTGTATTGCATGACCAGCAAGAGGAGCCACATTTGTGCTACGCGAGGAGGGCATTTGTCATGCGGAAATGGCATCAGGAAGCTTTCCAAAAATCTGTGATGCTGGGTCATGTATTACAAGCATCATGGGTCATGTCAGACAAGCATGACAAGCCTTCCATTCTTCCAGACCCAGACATTTTTACACTTGATACAAACACGACCAGAAACACCATCACCTACTACTACCTCTCCGACCTGCAGTCAACCTCGGATCTAAAGAAACAGGGCGCGCTCTCCGACGGGTTTCGCGCGAAGGCCACGTACTTTCAGCGGCCGACCGAAAACGTGGACGAGAACTTGCAGAAACTGTTCCAGATCCGCAGCAAACGAAGAATCGAGCAGAGCGACTTGGACGAAATTTTGGGCAAAGATTGGCACTACAAGGATTCGCTGCCCGAGGGACGGGGGCGAGTATTCAGCGACGAGGCGAAAGTGGAAAAAGAGAAATCCGAACTATGACTTATAAGCGGCGAGTCGTAGTCATTTGTATTTCGGGTATAATTTGTTGTTGTGAACCACTAGTGCCAGCTCCGTCGTGATGTACTTGTATTGTAGTGGATGCGCCGAACTAGAACTCCTATCCATTTTATTCAGAAAAACTACGTTTGTTCATGGAAGCCGCTACGATGGACCACTACGTGGACCATTCATTCTATCTCCTGAAGCTTTCCGATTTCTGATTCTCTTTCTCGCCTTATTTCAGAAACCCTCCCTGAAGTTCTTGACGTTCGCGCGGGAGCCCGATGCGCTTGACTATTTCAGCAACCAACTGGAAAAGATCGCGATTCTAAGTTTCCGTGAGTGGACGAAGCAAAATGCATGCGCATGAAAGGAGTAGGAATTTTTTGTGTTAGGAGCATCACGTTTGAGTTTTTACATTTAGCTAGTCGCGGCACTGAAAGATCGCAATTGAGTTCTTCAGATCAACATGAGAAACGAATTCTCTGATGAAGTTTCTTCCGACTACCGCCTTCTTCGTACGTATTGCTTGTGCAGACGATTTCTCTAGGTCCAGTGTTCGATATCTCGATATCATCATGGATGATGCTTTCTTGGCCCACTACTTACGGTGCCTAAGTGAGTAGCTGAATTTCGTCGACTACCGGAGCCATGCGGCGGTCACTTCTGGTCGTTCTTGAATAAAAATTCGTTGCTTTGTTTTCTATGCTTTTTGGTTTTGGAGGATGAAGTGATCGTCATGATAACAGTACACAAACACACTAGTAGGATCTATTGGTCCACTTTTCAACATCGTCGCGAACGGAAAATTGGTCGTGAGCAGATGAAGATCCTTCATCTACTTTTTCCCTATCGATTTAAGCGTGATCGTCATCGTCAGCATTTCGTTTCGAAATCAATCGCTCATTCGTGTTGTCGCTTCTCTATTCCCATTTTGGTCGTTCCAAAATGACATGATCGTTGTGTAAGAGGGAGAGAGCCCTCCTTGGATACCTCCTTGAAGCGTCCAGACCAGTAAGCCAACATCGGATATCCGGTTCGCCAAAAATTATTTCGTGGTGTCCACCTAGCCGTCGTGTGTATGATCCCCGGCAAAGCATGCATCGTATTCTTCCAAAGAAGCATACTGTATAGGACAACTAGAAAGTCGTGCTAGACTAAGTTCGTCATGATCATTTTTGCTAAAGTGCACATGGATATGGGAAATTGTATTAATGGGTCGTCCTCACATCACAGCATCGCGGGCGGTGATTGTTCACAATGACGATGACATTCGGACATCACACGCCTGATGCCGAATTGCTAAAGAATGACCCCGACCGTATTGCGGCGAGCGAGAGTTCCTGCGACGAGCCTTCATACCTTCTATCCACGATGTTCCTCGATACCGTGGTAGCGTTTGCGCTGTTTCTCATTTTCCAGGCCCACCAACAGGGAACGGCAACTCTCACTTTTGCGTTCCTTTTCGGTAGCTTGGTGCTCTCGAGAGTCATTCGCCCAAAACGGCGGGGAAAGGTACTACCTAAGCGTGGTTCTGACTGATCTTATTTCCTTTTTTTGATTATGAATGTAAAAAATGTTGAGAAATGTGCGCAGTCTTACACTTCGCCGCAGGAATGTTGCGCCATGTGTTTTCTCCCTATAATTGTGTCTGTGGGCAACTTGAGTAACATTATCCTACTTCTTAAGTAACATTATCCTGTCTGCGAGGTAACGTCATCAAGCGCTTTCCTTCAAGACGACGAAAACAACAATGCGAACTTGGGAAAAGAAACGATCAAGCACGGTCGCGAGAATCATTTTTCCAGAGCTAGAGGTCAGCAGCAGGACATCACATCTTCAGGGAGGAAGAGCGATGACACCAACCCGCGTGTGTCTTGTGCTTCCCGGATAACGATTGCGCTCATCTTGTTTGCGATTTGTATCGCGCTTGCGATACCTCCGGAAGGACATACTACGAGTCTTTGGGCAACACTTTTCGAAGATCCTAAGCAGCTGCAGGATAGAACGACATGGTCGTCGTTCGTAACAAAAGAAGCAGAACGAGACGCTGGCTCGGAAGTAGTCGATAGCATAATACCGCGCGTGATTCGCAAACTGGGTTCCGAAAGGGAAGAAAAGAGAAGATCACTTTCGGTAGGCGATGAGGAGAACAACGCTGAAAAACTACCCGATGGGAACAACTTCGAAGACGGCCGCAGTTTTTACGCCCGCATGAAGCAAACGCTTCTACCTGATATTGGTACGTTCGTCGAAGATGACAAGAATAGAGCTGCGAAGCCTCCTGAAATCTCGAACCCGAGCGAAGTGAGGAACGGCGAGTCTGGCGACGCGACGGGGCCAGAGGATAGCGATCGAGCTGGTGGGGCAGACACCAATACGAACAGAACCAAAGATGACAATACCAGCTTTCTTGCATCGACTTCAGTGGAACTGCCAGTGAAGTTACACGCTAATTACACGTACGTATCAAAATGGAAAATGCCCCGCCCGTAGAAGGAGGTGTAATTGCTTGTACATGCAAAGTTTATTCCAAAGGAGTAGGGAACTAAGTTTTCGGTTCGCATGGAGGGACTGTGAATCTGTTTGATCCAACGCAAATCTCCAAGGAGAACAAACTAGCCTGCACATGCATCCGGCGTCCTCAGCATGTAGTTGCTGGGCCCTGACCCATGCATGGCCCGACCGTGGTCTATCCTCACATACAAGGCGGCGCTGTGCTTGTTGGGGCGTCGTCTGACTTTTGCATTCTGCAAGCATATATTTCAAACTTAGGGGTAGGGGCACCTGTTTTCATTTTGATACTACGAGGAGTTTCGCAATAAAACTGTGTCGATCGTAATTCCGACCAAGTTCGAGGAGGCGTACATCGTGAAAACTATCAAGTACATCTACGAAACGACACCAATAGAGCTGCTGGAGGAGGTTATTATTGTGGACGACCTCTCCCCCCAACCAGTTTTGCCGCTCTTTGAGGACGCCTTTCGCGACAAAGACTACTGGATACTACACCCGGATGGACACGAAGTCGGCGGCGTGAACACAGGAGATGAAGGACATCAAGTCGTTGCCCGCCCTGAAGTAGAAGGAGAACACCAGATCCAGAGCTCGTCCAGCAGTGCTAGCGGCGCTGCAGCAACATTCAGCAGCTCGTCCTCCGTGACCGACGTGATTAATTCCGCGAGTTTCACGGGCCATGTGCACGGCGACCCTAACTCCACTTCGAGCAGAACCACAACGCTGGCAACCAGCATGGAAGCGCTACTGGTGAATGCAACGTGGGGACCTGTGACGGCGTCGACTACAACTAGCTTGTCGCGCGTCAAAACGAACTACACCGGTTTTTTGTCGTTTCTCACCTCGGAACAGCGGAGCACGTTGAAGATCCTGCGCAACGAGTATGAAGGCCTCAGAATGGAAATCCTCAAAGTGGAAATAATTTCTGACGCATGGAATGCGACGGAAAAAAGACTGTATTGCAGAAAACCCAATGGAGGCCGACTATTGTCCTGCTAGGGGTGAAGAATTGGAGTGCAGCTTAGCATGAGAGAAGGGCACCCCTTTGCCTTAACCTGCATGACAGACATGCTTTAAGTGCCCGGGAAATTTGTCACGCGCCGACTACAAATGGCGCTTCAACTGGAGTTGTTTTTTTGCATTACAAATTATTTCCACTTTGAGGATTTCCAATCTGAGGCTTTCATAACGAGGTGCACCAGGGTTTGATCCGCTCGAAGATCCAGGGGGGACACATTAGCTATCAACTGTAGAAATGTCTGGGTCTGGGAGAATCCAACTTGTCATGCTGATTTTCGATTCTAAAAAAATCTGTATTGCATGAGGAGCAAAGAGATTCCAAGTTTTGCTACACGGAAAGAGCATTTGTCATGCGGTATAGGCATCAGGAAGCCCTCACAAAATCTGTGATGCTAGGGCATGCATCACCAGACATCAGGAGCAGTCATGCAAAATGTGCATGACAAACCTGGCAATCTTCCAGACCCAGACACTTTTACATTTGATATTAGCACGGGCAGCCACATCTTCTTTCTGGACGGCCACTGTCAACCCTACAAGTTCTGGCTGGAGCCGCTGCTGCGCCGCGCGTTGGAAAACGACCAACGCATCGTCCTGCCACTGGTCGGAGACATCAACGCCACGAATCTTGACAAGTGGGCCCCGATCGGAACCAGCGGCGGCGCGAAAATGATGTTCGAATGGAATTTCGAATTCGACTGGTTTGACGACGGCGGTGACGACGTGCCCATCATGAGCGGCGGGCTCCTGCTCATGAGCCGCAAGTGGTGGGACCTAGTTATGGCGTTCTCAACTGTTACATTCTAAACTGTTACATGGATTTGTCATGCAAAAACACCATTATCATCCTCACGATCAAGCTGCTCCGCATGACAAATTTGCGGAGGGCTCACTAGCACTATAATCCGTCCCAAATCTGTAATGCAAAAGGCGCAATCTTCCTCCTTTCACTTTTGCCCTTCTTGCATTACAAATTCGTGTAACAGTTCAGAATGTAACATTTGAGAACGCCATACTAGTGGGAGGCTACGACGACGGCATGGCGGATTGGGGCGGGGAAAATATCGAACAGAGCATATCAAAATGAAAAATCCCCCCTCCCCATATCAAAAAAGAAATTTGTGATGCTGATTTGTGACCACAAATCAGCTTTGTATTGCAGAGAGGCACTGCGGCCAGCTCCCCAGGCTAGGTAGGGGCGTATGGGTCTAGTAGTTCAGCATGGCTAACGGCCCTCCTTTAGGCCCAACAGCATGACAAATCGCTTCCATAATGGGGCGGAAGCTTCTGCCCTTGTCTTCTTGCAAGACAGATGTGATTTGTGACCTCAAATCCGCAACACAAATTTTTGGAACATACCATTTCAATAGGGGGAGGGGGGATTTTTCCTCTCAATAAAGCATGCGCACCTGGATCTGCGGCGGCGAGGTGGTGGTGGAGCGGAACAGTTTAGTCGGCCACATTTTCACCCGGTAGTGCACTTTGTTTCTTCTTCATCAATGAAAAATTATCGAGTTGGTTGTACCATGCGCAAGTGCAGGCTTGGAAAGCAACATGAGTATTCTGGGTCTTTTTGTTCAGCTGCACAACTGAAATACTAAATGCGTCAGGGATTGGGATACATACTTTACTGTTTTTTTGTTTAATGCGGAAAAGTACGCGCAGCTCTGATGTCCTTGGAACTGAAAACATTACTTCGTTCTTTGCGTCCCAGGCCCGCGAACCCGAAGAAAGTTCGGCCAAAATCCGTGGAGCGGAACAAAGCGCGGGCTGCGTACGTATGGCTGGACGAGTCGTACGAGAAGCATTTTCTGCCGGAGCAGGATATCTTGCAGAAAAGTATACCCATACGAGTGTCATAGCGAATTTGTGTTTCTGTTTTCCTTTGACAGACCATAGGAGAGGCCGACGTTTTTTGTGATGTACAATACTTACAGTTTGTTCGTAATGATAATGTATCCTGCAGTTTGGTGAGTTGTAGTAGTAGAGAAAACTTTGTAGTCTGTTGTCATGCTGCACAGCCAAAAAGAGCCGCAGCACAAATTTATTTGTCTTCTGGTATGCAGCTTCTAATACAGGACGAACGAAGCTTGCGCTAAATTGTTTTCTGGTATGGGTGTACTTTTCTGTGGAGTACAGGAGCACGCTCGGAAAATGGACTTGGGGAACTTCTTGCTCACCCGCGTGCTCTTTCGCCACGAGTTCCCGACCTGCAACGAGCGGACCTTCGACTGGTGGTTTTCCGAGAAGTTCTACCACGTCTTCGAGACCCGCGGCCTGGTCCTGTCGGAAGCCCACCACATTCGCCACACGGTCTCCGCGCTCTGCCTGACCGGAAAAGACAACGGCAAGGAGGAGCTTGCCACCGTGCACCTGCAGCCGTGCGACGCCTATAACCAACACCAAAAGTGGTCGCTGATCACCAACGCCACACGGCTCGTGAACCACAAGCTGAAAAAGTGCCTGGACCGGGGGAACGACGAGAAGCGCAAGACTCCAATCCTGTACCAGTGTGACCACACCAACGCCAACGCGAACCAGATGTGGACCTTCGGGAAGCAAAAGTGGGCGCCGAAGCAGGGTGTCCGCTTCAACAACCACGTCGATAACGAGCACGCGTTTGTGCACGAAAACAAGGTGCTCTACACCGGTGCCATCGTCTCGGATTTGAATAGCAAAGCCTTGGCTGTGTCGGTGTCCTCGTTTCGGCCGCTGAAATGCCTTACGTGGAGCGACTCGGCAGATAAGCAGGACTACGATCTGGAGGAGCACACCATCGACGACGTCTTCAATGTGAACACGGACACGCTCGATTACTACGATAAGCTGGCGGCGAAAGTCATGCGGCGCCGCACCGCGAGAATCGTGGCGTCGCAAAATAACAGGAGCCATCCCTTGAGTAAAGGGGACGGCGTTCTTGACAGTCCTGCAGACCATCTTCGTCAAGATGCAGCGAACAGCGGGGCTTCAGCTGCTGGTGGACAACTAGTGCAGCCGGATGGTCGTGGTGGTACAGCGGAGGATGGACTGATAGGAACGGCAGACGAGGAACCAGGACCTCTCGGAGAGCACGAAGAAGATGAGCAGATGAGTGAAAGTGACAGAGAATACCGTAAACAGAACAAGAACTACGACGCAGTACTTCGGCGGAGCGATAGCGAGGAGGAGACAACGGAGCCACCACCCACTGACGAACCTGGAATGGTGGAGTGTGCCGGAGTAGGCATTGCAGACGTGTCTTGGTCTGGAACGTGTGGTGCGCGAAATTTGCATTGCTGAACGAGCGTGGTGCTAGAAATATGCATGAAATTGGTATGACTATGATTCTTCTTGCTTCTTAATGCATTATGGTGCTTCACGCAGCTACGGTATATACAAGTTCAACTTCTTATTTCTAAAGCAAATTCACCTTTATATATATTGATATTCATATTCTCATCCGTGGCCGTGCCACACGCGAAGTAAAAACCGCTTAGAAATAAGGTCCACCAGGGCTGGCTGCCCACGGCAGTCAGTTTCTCATCGATGATGAATTTGCAGTACTTATGACCACGAGAACTTTCCACCCCCAGGCAGGTTTGCAATGCATACGGAGAGAGCGATGCACAGTTTGCCGAATATTTGTTCGATATTATTTGGTAAATGCCACTGCCAGCATGCCCATACCATTGCTGCGGAGGGCAGGGCTGCTGAATTTCCGGCTGAAGCATACGACTTTACCGAGTTTTTGTATGATGAGGAACAAAGATGACGTCTGCGGATGCGGATCTCGTAGAGTTCAGACTCACTCGTAATGTACTTGCGCAGTAACTAATGTATGACATGCCGTGAAGACCGACGAAAGTGAGCCGTCTTACATTTACCCTCGTATCTGCTCGGATTCGGATGCCGCTATCTGTAACACTGTGCAAGGTTATCGTGTACCCTCAACCTGTATCTATCAACGTAGAATGAACATCAAAATGTACTAAGTGTTATTCACGAAAACAGATTGCTTTGACCCTGAGTGAGGGTCTCTACCCTTGAAATGTTTCCTAACCATGTATGATTCTTTACTTACTGGAATTCGAGCCTGACTCTGCTGCGTTGCAGCTGTATGTTAGGCGTTTCACCACGCGAGTGAAGAAATAAACTAAGGCACATCTGCTTCGGTGGAAAGCGCTCTTCATCAGGTGTGTCAACCGCGTGCGCCCGGTGGTCGTGTTTCTTTGGTTCCGTTCCTTTCCGTTCCGGGTGAACTTCGTGCTCTTCCAAAATCAACCGAGGGTCGTAGCGTACAAAGATATCGCCTGCAAATAAGTACTTACACGACCAGAAAAGTTCTATGAACCTAAGAACTGTAGTCATGATGGAGCGATGGCGTAACAAAGCGGGCACTAGAGATCGTTTCGTAGCACTTGCAGTGCGTCTTATCATGTGTATGTAGTGTGATGTGCGCGTTATCTTCGCCGTTTCTTCATACGTATGCTATCTTGCATCCTGTGTGGATCGCATTCGTGGACATGAGCGTTCAGATGCGTATCCACGACGCAAGTTTCTATGGTGAGGACATGGCAGAGAGCCTTGCGCAAGTAGACATATAGAATACTACAGAGTCATCTTCCTTTTCCTATGGTGCTGCATAGTACACTAACCAGCTAAAAAGTTGTGCACAGAACCGTTCTCAGTTTCGTGTTTTTGTTGAAAGGGTACACACAGGCACGGTACTGGAATATCACCTGCATAAGGGAATTACAAGAACAGAGTTTTCAATTCTAGATGACAAAAGATGCTGCACCCTACTGTCGGTCGAACAGATGGGCAAGGAAAGCTGAAATCTATGCAAAATTATCATTCCAGCGCATTCGAGGAGCACGAGCCACAGCCTCTTCGTTCATTTCCAACACCGTGTCCCCGAAGACCTAACGGTAACGCTACAAGTGGATGGGATAGTTTTTTGTGACAGTATTCCTGACCCTGCTGCACGTCTACCAGCGCTGCACGCTTGAGCATGTTCGAAGTCGAGGAGGAACTAGCACCAGCCTTTGCCGGAAAATAAGTCGACTCTTCTTTTGTATGCAAGAACTAAGTAAGTGCAAGCACTGACTTGCTCGACTACTTCGACCACGGCCGACATCTGAACGTCGATTCGCTGTTGTTCTGTCACTCCACGGTGGAGCAAGGGCACAAGGAAAATGGAGGACATTGAATATTCTGCGTAAAGACGTACCGACCCCATATTTGTCATGCAGCTCTGCATGCGCAGAACCTGAACCAGAAAAATGTCATGCGAAGCTCCATCACCGGAAGCATCTTCCAATCGTGCTTGGGCGTTTGTCATGATCCAGTCGTGGGAACTGCTGGTCACACAGCTGCACTAGCCACTCACGACAACACTGCGGACTGAAAACTTTTTAATGGCAACAGCCAAGAAGAAGAAAATGAAAACTTCTATGACTTTTCTTTCCAGCGAAAGTCCGAATTGGACTATGGGGCGGGGACGTACGTTTTCACACGGTATATCGAGTCCGGGCGTGTCTCCGACGAGGACACCACAACCTCTCCGCGCACATCCGCTCGGAACATATGAAACTGAAAAGTGCGCCTACCCCAACGTGCTGCGGGAGTGCTTGTGGTGCGAGAACAGTTCCCAATGGAAGCGCTTGCCACGACCTTGCATGTATCTATGTGCATGACAAGTTTGCAAGCCTAAGTGGCGAAAGTCTGTGGTGCGCAGCGCCTCAGCATTGGCGAGAGCTGTCACTTACATGATTGCGTTAGGCTCGCCGACAAGAAGCGTTGCACCCTTTTTACGCTATACGAAAAGTTTCCGTGTGGAAAGAAAGTTTCCAACACAGACTCCTCGCCGTTTTGGCGGTGGGGCACCACTTCGCTTTTGGATAAAACACTCACCTTTACCACCAGAACGAGTTCTACTTCACTCGCGAGCCGACGATTGCCACGTATGCAAGAAAAAAGGACACACTGTCATTACAACTTTTTGCTGCATACGTATGTATGCAAAAAAGTTATCTTCAGTTGTGTTACTGGGTGTGGGTGTGCACCATCATAGCAAGCCAGTTGCCAGCATACGTATGTTGTCACCTCCTATGTATCTGTGCAGGGGAAGCTTTTCTTGGCGTCATGCCAGACAGATTTCCACTGCTGTTCTTCTTGCCAATAGGTTCGACTTGCCGTCTTTTTTTCTTGGATACCACGCTGGCCGCGACTATCATGCTGCTCTACTTCAACCACTACCGCGTCGACCAGTTGGCGACGTGGTTTTTTCTCAGCTCCAGCACGTTTCTGTTTTACGTCTTCACGAAAGTTTCGGAGGGGACGCAGATTTTCAAGATACCTACGTCCCCCAGCCCCCCCAGCAACGTAGGCGGGGCCCAAGTAGGTGGTGGGGCCCACGTCCACGCTGCGAACCCGGCGAGAACCACGTCCGGCGGCTCAACCTCGCTCCATACGCCCCCGCCCGGTGCCGTCCCGAGCGGCGTAGTAATCAACTCGGCCTCAAAAAACCGACAGAGATCAATATCGAAAGGAAAAATCCCCCCTCCCCATTATCAAAACGGAACTTCTGATGCTGGATTTGTGTACACAAATCAGCTTTGTATTGCAGGAGGGCACTGCGGCCAGATCCCTAGCCTAGATAGGGGCGCTGGGTCTAGTTGCTTAGCATTACTTACAAACGGCTGCTCCCTACGCGCAACAGCATGCCAAATCGCTTCCATAATGGCGCGGAAGCCTCTGCGCTTGTCTTCTTGCAAGACAGACGGGATTCGTGGTCTCAAATCAGCATCGCAAATTTTCGGAGACATACCTTTTCGATATGGGGAGGGGGGATTTTTCCGCACAATAATCAAAAACCTTCGTGGGGTTCGTCCTCCTCTTTCTGCTTCTGGTCGCGGGCGTGGCCAACAGCCGCTTTTCCCTAATTGGCCTACACGTCGCGGACATCGGCAGTCTAGGTGGACCTGGGGGCCCCGCGGATAGCAGGACCTGGCTCTCCAACGCGGCCCATACACTTTTACTTGGCGAACAAGCTGCTCTTCCAGGCGCGGATCATGCAGCGTCGAGTACGTCCTTCGGCTCCGGTGCGGTAGTTGCCCACCATCTTCTATCCTACAGGGAAAAAATTGGCAAGGCATATTTGCGAATGCAAAAACGAGATCAAAGAAGCAGGAAATTGATGAAAATCCGTCATGGGCGGTGATCCCATAGCATGCCGTGTGAGTTGTAGACATGCACGAGTGAGAATGAGATCTTTTCCTCGTGTATTCGTTTATTTCGCATTACTGCCAGCTTTCTTCTGGGTGATATCTTCCAACGGTGAAGGCGCTCGCGTCTTCCGGCGCGACCAACGACCAGAGATTCCGCAGAAAAAAGCAGACCGCGAGCGTGCAGCAGCAGGTCAGTGACGAATTCCGGGGGTTGTCGGTGTCTATCATCATTCCCGCAAAGTACGAGAAAGAGTACATCGTTCGCACGCTCATGTACGTGTATCAGATCACGCCGTTTGCGCTGCTAGAGGAGGTAATCGTGGTGGACGACCAAAGCGACGACTCCCTTGTCGACGATCTGGTCGAGAAGGCCGTGGTATCGCCGACTGGGGAGCTCAACTTCCTGGTGAGAGGATGGTGTTTTTTTCCTAGAGCTAGATTTACTTGCACATCTACATCAGATAATGTGGGTAGTGTAAGAAAAATATACGAAATTTTGACAAAAATCTACAGACCGACGAACAGCTATGCAAGTGCTGCACAACACCACCTTCCCCACAATTCAAGGGCGTGAGCAGCAACAGGCGCCATGCTGGAAATGTACTAGCTTTCGCATGACAAACTAACGCACGGACTGTAGTAGTACTGTTTCGGGCTCTAAAACTTGTTTATGCGAATGCCAAATAGTGCCTACTCGTACAATGTGTATGCAAGTTAAGATTTCGACGTGTCATTTTCCGTCACGAATACGAATGAGGAAGCCGGGGGAGTTGTGCGCTCTCACAACAGCGAAGGAGCATCAAGGTGATGCGGAACGATCTACCAAACTCAAAAGTGCCCCGCCGCCCCCAGAAGACAGAGCTTGGAAGTAATTTGCTTACCCTGGAACCGAACCCTTCCATGCGTTGGAACTTCTTCATCTCATGCATGTGCAGTTGCTTGAGAATGCAACGCATTCTGAAAACAATCCCCGAGGCGGAGTTTACATAGCTTTGTGGAAATAATTTCGCAGAACTGGCGTTGCGCAGCTTCTCGCTGTCCTAATTCAGTGCCCATACGAAAGTTCTTTTTCGATTTCTATATATGCAATTGTCGAAGCTGAAACTTCATCTTCGTCTTTCTGGGGTACTAGCATGGGTAGTTCTCACTTTGATACGACCACCGGCAGGGCTTAATCCGTGCGAAGATCATGGGTGCCAACGCCGCGGTCGGAAGCCACATTTTTTTTCTGGACGGTCATTGCCGACCCTTTGAGGGGTGGCTCGAGCCCTTGCTCCGAAGGTCGCTCGGGAACTACAAAAGAATTGTGGTGCCAACGATTCCCGACGTAGAGGCGAAGGACTATGGAATTCTCAAACGTTGCATGGACCTCGGTTGCATATATTTTTGCTTGATCTATTGTTATTTGCAGATGATAAAAAATTCTGCGTATCAGGTGGCATAGTTCAGGTAGGCGGTTTCTTTCCATGAGGAAATTACGACGCGCTTCTCACTAGTCATTGAAATCCGTAAGTCCCAGTATTGCATGCTTATGCAAGAAGCGCAAGCTGGTCCTCTCTTCTATTGCTCTTCCTCATATGCTATTCTTGTAGCAGCACAGAGAGATGATGTTGATCTACCTCTCCAGCAAAAGATCACGTAAACAGCGATCCAAACAGCGTGTGGGAATGCCATAAGGACTGGTCCAAGAAGTCGAATGTCGGAATCAAGATGATGTTCGAGTGGAACTTCCATTTCGACTGGTTTGACGACCCGGGAGACGAAGTGCCAATACTGAGTGGGGGGCTACTGCTGATGACAAAAAAATGGTGGAACGAGATGGGCGGGTAAGTTAGTAGAAAATCGGAAGAACTTCTTGTTTGTTCACAGTGCATACGCATTTGTTATTCTTGTTGTTCGCAAAGGTACACTGTGTCTGTGGGTAATATGGCCACTTTCCTGTTGCAGTTCTCTTTTCATCATCTTGGCGGTCCGCGGCACCGGTACTTTGAATACCTCTTCTGTATTGTCTTGCCTGGCTTGCGTGGACAAAGAGGCGATTTTCGTCGCTTGCTTTCTTCTGTTTCTTCATTCATCTCTTTGCGAGATTTAATATGGCCAGGACAACTGAATCTGAACCTGAAGAGATACCAAGGCGCTGTCAGGTCTGAATAGAGAGTGGGTTTTCAGCGAGGTTTTCTTGCTTTGGTGATTGAGTACGCACTGTGCCAGGACGAGAAACGTAAGGAGGTCGTCCTCGGACCTGCCTATTACCACAAGGTGCAACCCCTACATACAAATTTCAGTGTTTTTTCCTTGCATCTTGACGCTGCTTTTGAATAATCTTGATTCGGCGCAAATAGGTATGACGACGGCATGCTGGAGTGGGGCGGCGAAAATATTGAGCAGTCCCTTCGCTGCTGGATGTGCGGCGGGGAGATCGTCGTAGAACGTCACAGCCAAGTATCCAGTGCAAATCTCCTCGATTTATTGGGTCTGGAAAGTTGTGATGCTGCGTTGTCATCAATGCTTGCAGCACTCGCAGTAAGAAAACGCTACCAGTGCCAGGCATGTGACAATGCAGGTGCTAGTCCCGCTCCTGTTCGTCATGTACATATTACAGGATTTAGGAGGACGAGGATGTAAGCCAAGCTAGGTTATTTACGTGAAATTGCACTTTGGTTTTCATCCGATCGAGATCGATATTTGCAATGCATCCAAAGTGGGACACATCTTTTTTCGCCCGCAGCCCCCAAACAAGGTGAAACCGCTGACCGTCCCGCGGAATAAGGCACGAGGGGCCTACGTTGTATCGCGAAAAAAAAGACCACGACAATTTTGACATGAGAAATATTTCGCCTGTCTGCACAGACAGTTTCTTTGGGTCCACTCACACAGTTTTTATTCTGCAGACTAGCTGCATTCCTCGTGCGTACTATTATGATGGTCCGCGTACGGCAAGGCGACACACATGCAGAACAAGTCACGTCGCGATATTAAACATACATGAATATGATCTTACCGTATGATTTTCGTGGTGCTTTTTTCTTGGATGTGGGTGGCTCGACAACTACTACCAGGTGTTCGCAGACCGAATGCCGGACGTGAAAAACAAACTAGATCTGGGTTCCAACCTGCTGGAGCGGATGCTCTTCCGCTTCAATTACGGGTGCGAGAAGTTCCAGTGGTGGCTTCGCCGGTTTGAGAGCGTGTTCGAAACCCAGGGGCTCATCGTGGACAAGCAGCACCACCTACGCCACACCGCCACTGGCTACTGCATGGAGGGGACGGACAAGGGCAAAATCGTCTTCGACGTGTGCTCGCCCGAAAAGGACACGCAGAAGTGGGGCTTCATCAACCAGCGCAAGCGGCTCGTCAATGCCAAGTTTAAGCGGTGCGTGGACCGCGGCAATAACCCCGGCGCCGTGACCCCCATCCTGTACAACTGCGACCGTGTATTGTCCAACCGAAACCAAATATGGCAGTTCACCAATCACCACGACCCGCCCTCGCAAAAGGACCGGAACTTTCACGACGATAAAGCCTTCGCGGGCCGCCTGTACAGCAACAACGATTTGGACTCAGCAACATTTAACTACGGAAAGTGTCTCGGCGTGGGTATGAACAGTATGGTGGAGAAAAAGGTAGACGATGTTGACTCCTCGAAAAGTAATAAAGCCGGCGCAGGTTCTCCCCCAATCCTGAATATGTTCAACTGCGGCCAAAGTCTGGACGACGACCTGAAGAAATTCCAGTTTGACGTTATCTGGTGAGGACCACATAATCCACAGTACAGCACCTACGGAAGACGCGTCAACTACATGAAGAGCCTGCGAACAATAAATCAAATTGGGTCTCAACATCTTCTCCCCTGTCGCGGCGCGCATGTCTACGAGCATGGTCGTGGATCCGCGGAGCATCTCGTACTGATAAGGCGCCTGATGTTGCACAGCATATGATGGAAGATTTGTGAAGAAGCACAGCACCGGGAGCTGCTATAAAATGCAGAGGAATTTTTACAGTCCGGAAGTCCCTCATGATCGTGCGCCACATACTTAAAATCATCGATCCGCATAAATATACAATTCAATCACAATCCTCGCGCAACTACTAAACCTTACCAAAGCTGCTTCTAGGGCAGCCCGTTCAAACAAGCTTTTTTTGCGCCCCGCACTTGTTTAACTCATGATCTAGGGCTGTGGTGTTCGACAAGTTCTTCGTTGTGATGCCGATCTATCAAAATCAAGAAATGGGCCATAATCTTCGAAGGAAGAAAAAGAATTCTTCGAAGTAATCCGTACAAGGCCTCGATGAACCTCGGTCACGCGCACGGGAGCTGACTGCATTTTTGAAGATGGCGTCGGTGAAATACGATCGATAACGAAGTACTGTGTAGTAAAGGTAAACGTATAGAAGATGAAAAGTGTATCGCGCAGGTGCTGTGTCTTGGATCCACCACGGAGAAAACAAAGTAGAAGCCACACAACTCGCGGAAATAGCGTCTCGAAGATCATTTGTGGTCTTGTTTGTATAGTGAGATAGAAGTTCTTCTACTTCTTGCAGCTGTCGCTACTATTTGCCGACGAAATGCAGAATGATCAAGAATAAATAAATGTCTGAGGCGTGGCCCGCCAACCTTCGGTATGATCCTCACGCAGAAAGGGTTTGGATCTTTTCGACATCATGTGAAGTTGATGGCTCGGTCGGTATGAAAGTGTTTTCGATGATTTGCGATCAGTCCGTGAAAAATGTGGCTCAGAGAAAAATTATGCACAGATCCTGGTAAAAATTCGTATCGCGATCATCTTGTCAGTAGATGGCCCGAGAACAAAGGAAGCATATGATCGGGTGAGAGTAAATGTCAATCTCGAAGTAGAGTTTAAAGTGCCGTGCCAATAACTGATAGATACTGAATCACAGACACAGGTGGAAAGTAACTTTCATAGCGTTCTTTTCTTCTTCTCCGGGCACGGGCGTTATAGTCTTTTCGTGTTGGGAAAGCATAACTCATTGCCATGGGTGCACCTGGCAAACAAGAACAACGCTGAAGTAGCGCTATAAACATGTTATCGAACTACATGTACTTTACTTATATTGAAGTTGTACCATGATTGTTGATTGCTAAGAAAATCCCGCGTGCTACCCCCGCTTTCATCATTCATTGTGACGAACAAAGATGATTATTTTTGGTAAGATACTCTTAGACTATTTTCCTTTTTCATCCCGAGTCTGAATCTGATGAACAAGAGGAACAGGAGAAGCAGATTCTCTCTCTCCCTTATGGGTTGTTTTTCCGGAGGACGTTTGTGTGCGACGTTGCTACATGTCTACTTTGCAGGGGCCTCAAGCGTTGTCAGTGGTTCCTTGGCAGGGCCTCGTTTTGACGAAGCAGCACTTGAGGCCACATCGCGCGTCTGCGGGTCGTCCGACCCTGAGCCACCGGAGAAACGAGACACGGAAGAAGTTTTGGTACTGCCTCCGAGCTCCAATAGCACCGGAGTCCGCACTACGAGCACTGGCGATCGGGAGCAGCTTGTGGAAAAACCGGAGCCGCATTGTTCGGATGCTGATGTTACTGACGAAACACTGGAAACCGAAACAAGCAGCGCACAAAGAGCAAACTGCCGCGGGAACAATTATGAGGATCAACAAAACGACGGCAGGACGGCAGCGGATGCAGCTTCGTCTCAGAAGGTGCAGCTTCGTCCCCACATTGCTTCCACCGCAGACAGTGCCACTGGTAGTTGCTCAAGAAGCCGAGACGGCGTGGAAGATGTCGGTGGGGCAAAAGGTTGTGCGCCTGTTGAAGGAGATCGAGATGAATGTGCAGAACAGCAAAATTTGTCGCGACCTTCGCCGCGAAGAAATGTTCCTCTACTCCTCGGAACAGACAGGACAACGGAGCGCAAAAACGACACCCAGGGGAGCGGGAGCGCCAGTATGACTTTGACACCACTTGCTGACAAAAGAAGAACGGGAATTGCTTTGGGTGTCGCGGGGTTGATACGGCCGACGTCTTCGCATGATCATCCTGGAAGCGGAAAGAAGTGGCTGCAGGTCCGCGACGAAACGACCGGCCAGTGGTTATTGCAGGAGTTCGTCGCCGTGGACGACCGTGAAAGTGTGCTGCGTCTCCTGCCGGGTTATACTACCGGCGAAATTGGGTATCAGCTTCGGGAGGTACAGGCCGACTCTGACGTCGGGGCAACTAATACGGCACCCGGGTCGTGGACTTACCAAGCCACAGCGTTCGAAGCGCCGTGGCACCTCCTGCAACAGTATCAGCTGCAAATATTGATCTGGGTCTGGACACTTGGCATGCCACTTCCTTAATAGTATGCATAGTACTGTAAATAAAGATGTTGACGAACATCAGGAACAGCAACAGTAGCAGAACAGGGTGGGATGTATGAGCCTTCGGAGCGGTGTTAACCTCATATTTAGAAGAGACACATACTAGTGCATACGCGCCTCCAAAAGATGACAAGAATAAAAACGACTTTTACATAATTTGCCACCGTCGACCGAAGTAGCGGCTGCGTCCTGGTACTACGCAATGTTCCGCTTCAGATATACGTATACGCACTTTCGCAACTGGAAGTGAAAACGTAATCTGCTCCTTCGAAGTGTGCATCGCAGAGAATACAGCTACGCCCGACAAGCATGTGGAGTTCTTGCAAGCTTCCAGATGGCCCAAGCATATTTGCAATGCATAAACAAGACCGGTTTGAGGCCAGGACTGTATTTGGAGCAGGTCCTGCGGTTCCTCCTCCAGGCCTTCTCGCCCGCATGAGGGGTTCGTCCTGGTGCGGCCTAATGACTTCTTCTCCGACGTCGCCGGTGCCGGTCTCCCGCCCGGGCAGTCCGAGCCCTTTCTTCGGTATGGAGAGCAGCACACCTGAAGTGCCCGGCGCGACTCATGGGGAGGACGACCCAGCACAGATGAACTGCGGGGGCGAGCTCGAGCCAATAAGCCCAACAACTCCGTTGTCAACGAATACTTTATTTCGGGAACAGCATCAATTCAGAGGGGCTGAGTCGCTGAGTGCTTTCGAGACAACCCTGCGGATGTACCTGACCAATTGGCAAAGCGTGGTGTTGGACTGGAATCACACTGCGTACCGCAAGCGAACGCACGCACGACACGAGGATGATTCGGACCCTGACTCATCCCACGTGAGTATACGTCTGGATGATAGATACACCCACGCGAACCGGAAGCTTCGGACTCTGGAGAAACGGCACTTTTGCTCCCCTCTGATCCTGCGCTTACAGCGCATCATAGGCGCCACTTCCTCACATTTGGCTGCCTGCGACGACGAGGAGGAGCCGCCAGTGCCTCCACCATTCGCGTTTGGCCATGGTGTTTTTCCTTCGTTTGCGGAGCAGTTGGGAGCTGACGTGTGGACCGTATCCGTAGGGCCCCTGCCTCGACAAAAACCGAAGCTGCTGTTCCACCTCGACAAACACGACTTGACACCCCAAGGTCGCATTGAGCGAGAGCTTCGTCTCGTCGAGGAATACTGGACCCGATACTCCCCGCCTACCAAACTTGCGAGGATCGAAATCCATTTTCGCTCGCCCCGCAGGGTCGTGGTAGACGGTCGTGTTGGTGCACCCCCCGGAGGACGATCCGAGACGCGTGACGTTGGGGTGGAGCAAACCATGGCCACAGAGAGGGGTTTACTTTCTGATTCTGCCGTGGACGAAAAGAACGAGAACGAGTCCAACAACGAGGGACGTCGAGACCCAATAATGCCCACTCCAGCTAGAGTTGTCGAAGAAGATCCAGAAAATTACAACCTTAATAACTCCGCGGTGGATGTTGATACAGAGCGGGAGCGAGGCGGCCCTCATGCTGAAAAAAATCTTCATCCTGAAAAAGAAAATCTTCATCGTCATGCTGCACAACGACCAGGAACTACTACTACACGAAGCCGCGAACAAAGCCCAAACATGTACAATTCTTGCAAGCTCGATATTCATTTTTACTCAAGAAACTTGCTTTTGCATCCGGAGATTCTTCCTTCGGCTAAGCTTCGTCTTGTAGGCGCCTTCTCCTTTGACTATGTTGCCCCCGCAGATGAAAACGAATCGGATGCACTCCGGTCTCCGACGAATATCAAGCATGTCAATGACCTCGCCGCTGGTGCAGCAGGAGCTTCGAATACAAGCATCTCAAGCACGCCATCCCCGGTAGGAGCGTCCACAAGCCCACCATCTTTGTCGTTTCTGCGTCTTGACCTGTTCTGGGCAGGCACGGGAAACTCGGCCAAGCTGAGCGATAACTCCATGTTTGTTCGCAGGAATAACTGGTTGGTAGAAGAAGATTATCGCAAGAAAAAAGTGTTGTAGTTAGAGCCACACAGTTGTTGTACCTTCAGCAACACAGCCCATGACAGAGAAAACTTGTGATGCAGGGATCATAATGTAAAAAAATAAATAAAAAAACTTCTAACTGGGCTCGTGTGCATATTCGGCATGAAAGAACTTGTCAGTCTTGCTTGGGCTGCAACACAATCAATGCACAACTGTCACACTACTTCTTTCTCGCGATAAAGATGTCTCTGCTGCCCCCGATGGGGAGAACAGCATAGCAGTCGTGTCAGCGGGGCCGCAAGTTGAGCACGAGATAAAGTCTACTCTGGTTGAAGAACAAGAACCTCAAAAAGGAGATGATCTAAAAATGACATCAGATTCAAAGACGCCAACATTGGCACGGCTCACCGCCGCTGCAGAGATATTAGTGACGCCCGGGAAGAACGAACCAGCAGACACATGGATGCCAAAACTGGCTACAACTGTTGAAGCAGGAGAAGGAGGTTTTTCCACCATGCTGCCGTATGCGCCTCAAGAAAGCGAGTACAAGAGTTCGAAAGGCTACAGATGTCGACAGAGGCTGACCGACCCCAATAATTGGTTGGCGTACCGGAGTCGAACCTTTATTCCTGGAATAGACCTAGGAGCACGAGGACCAGATTTTTCGGCCGTGTCCTCAGCCGAGTATGTTGCACCTGGTGAGGAGGATACTTCCTGCTTGAATATTCACGGGAAGACACCAGGTTCGCAGGGGACCACACGTGCAGCCACGTCTTCACGCCGCGCAGCGCGCAGCGGCCGCGTGCGTCGCGCAGGGCGCCGCCGCGCGCCGCGCATTAGTGCTGAAAGTGCGGCGGGACTTGTAGTTTCGGACGATGCAGCTGTGTTCCACGAAGATCCCGAGGCCGCCGCTGTGCCATATTCATCTGGGACGAGCTGCACGGGTGACGCACCACAAATACAGCGACAACAAGTTTTTATTTCGGAGCCAAGCAACGCCGCCGTCGCAGCTCCATTTCCCCTGCCAGGAGGGCCTGGTCCCCGGGACGAGAACAATTTTGCTCAAGCGGACCAACAGAATTTGGTAGTAAAGGGTCCACCTCGGGGACGGGGCGACGATCGAGGACGGCGTGGGAAGGGCGCGAACAAGGACCCCTGGCAGAACGTGAAGATACAGATCGTCCCACGAACCAGCACGAGCGACCCCGTTGACAAAGATAATGCCTCCCCCGCCCCTGCGCCTGCACCCCCTCCCCCAGCCCCACCCGCCCCCCAGCCGGGGCCGGGGGGCGGTAAGGGTGCAGCTGCAGACAGAACTTCTCCAGCTCGGCCACCTTCTTCACAACGAGGCCCTGCTGGAGCAGGAGGAAATCGAAATCATGGTGAACATCCGCCAACTAGTAATGTTCCTGCTCCACGTTCTGCTGTCCAACTCCAAAATACCAATTTTCCCGCCGCGGGCCAGGAGGCGTTGTGCGTCGAAAGGAAATATGGATTGCAAAAGTGTTTGGGTCTGGAAGATTCTAAAGTTGTAATGCTGTCTCTGGATTCTAAAAAAAATTGTATTGCATGACCAGCAAGAGGACTCCAGTTTGTGCAACGCGGAAAGGGCATTTCTGATGCGGTAGAGGCATCACAAAGTCCTGTAAAAATCTGTGATGCTAGGGCATGCATCACAGACATCATGGATCATTCTAAATATGCATGACAAATCTCAGAATCTTCCAGACCCAGACATTTTTGCATTTGATAGGAAAGAACTGGACGGGATCCGGTCTCTCTACGTGGAGCTGCTGCGCCGGGATGGCCTCTTGCTGCGGACGCTTCCCGGCGGTGCGCGGGACGATGCCGTGATCGTGATGGCCGCGATCCGAAACAATCCCGAAGCCCTCCGGTACGCCAGCGCCAACTGCCGCGACCGGCTGGAGCTGGTTCGGGCCGCGGTCGCGGCGGAAAGAAGGCACTGCGACGAGGCGGGTCGTGATTCTATTTTGCACGAGCGTCCATCTAGATCTACTTCTCGGCAACCCTCGTCGCCAAAGGCGGACACCTCCCGGACGGCGGGGACGAGGGAGGATGTTGATGCGCAACAAGAGGCACAAAGAACCGCGGGTAGATATCTGCGGTTCGCGTCGGCTCGGCTGCGCCAAAATTACGCGCTGGTGAGGTATGCGATCGAGAAGAACGCCTGCAACCTGGAGTTCGCAGACGCGGAGAATCTGCGGGACAACGAGGAGCTAGTCGCTTTCGCAGTGCAGCTGTCCGGGGTCGCGCTGCAATACGCCTCGGCGCGGTTGCGGAACCGGGAACACATCGTGCGGCGCGCGATCGACCAGGGTGCGGCTGCCGAACAGCAACGTGGACGAGAGAGTGTTTCTTTGGGAGACCACCACAAGCACCACAGTCGGAATTATACTAAAAGCCCGGATTGCAGACCGATTTCGTTCAGCGATTTGCGGTACCGCGACTACGCACTCGCGCTGTACGCGGTGCAGCAGTGCGGCGGGGCGCTGGAGTACTTGGGCGAGGACTTTCGGGATGACGACGGTATCTGTTGGGCCGCCGTGCGCGCGGATCCCAGTGCGTTGCAGTACGCGTCTGCGCGGTTTCGCGACACCTACGAGGCGACCCAGGCGGCTCAGCTGCGCGCGTTCTGGGCTATGGTGGGCGTCTCCATTGCTTGCGGCCTCGCCTTTTTCGCTGTACTCACGGCAATCCTGTGCCTGCGGCTCCGCGCCGAGGCCGCCGCACGCGATCTCCCAGGACCTCAGGACGAGGAGGAGGACGTTGTGCCATCTGCTCCTGCTGGTCTTGCCAGGACGAAAGGGACGAGACAAGGACACCGCCTAAACTCGGAACAAGTCTTCTTCAACAAGAAGACGAATGCCTTTGTCAGGGCTGCGGACCACCCGTTGATGTTCTCCGCAGTCGCTACAAGTTCGAGCAACCTCTACCCTACGACAGCCCCTGGACCTTCGCGCCCAGGGCCAGTAAGTAGAAGTGGAGCTGCTACCGGAGTCGCTTCGCGTTCGGCGGAGCAGCGCACAAAAAAGGGCACGGAAGATGAAGCACTGCAGCTTGCCGGTGATCAACAAATAAAACGCGAATCAGCCACAACAGCGTCCTCGTCAAATCACGAGAATGTCGTGCCCGTTCCGCAATTTATCATGACTTCACCTACTCATCCCTCATCGAGTGCACGGAAGGACATAGGCACGCCGCCGCGTCCGCGTGGTTGCTCGCTATCCGGCTGAAAACAAGTGCAGCCCCCGATAGCCCCACCTACACGAAAGACCAAAGAGTTTTGTGTTGCATGTGAACAAGCTCATCTATGTTCGATTTCCGATTGGAGGGCACAGTGATAGTGGCTGATGCTTTTTGCATGGACAAGCAGAGTCGTGAAGAAGCTTATCGCAGCGAACAAATATTTATATATAGATACATCCACAAGAAAACCTTCTCAACTTCTTGCGGCCATTCGAGACACCTTTTGATTTTCAATGACTTCAGGTCAAAAATTTATCACACATTATTGCAGCAGCAGCACATGATGCACATTCTTTAGACATTCGGCGGCGCTGCCATCTCGTCGAGTGGGGGGCTAAGGCGAGGGGGCTCTTTTCATTTCCATACCCACCGAATGTGTTGCAAGCCAGAATCGAAGCCGATATCAGGAGGCATGAGAATGCGAGCCGCAACGGCGAAAAGCAGAGCGAGCATCCTAATTCTCCTCGAGGCGCCACTTTGACCACGCCTTTCCCAGCACGAAATGCTCTCGGGGGTGCGACATCGCCTGTTGGGAATGGTGGCGCAGTTGTTGGAGGGGCTAATACAACTAAGGCGACGAGCGTGGTACTATCATCCAGATACGACATGAAGAGCCATGTGTTGGTTCTCCAGGAAAGTGCCACCCCGGCGAACGAAGTGTCCACGTCGCAGCAGATGCAAATGAATCCGCAGCCGCACATTACCGCAGATTTCGCAGTGGCTCACCAGTTGAAGTCAGTCCGGGTGCAGCACGACCATAATTTGCATCCCGAGCAGCAGCTGCGCCCGACCGAGGCGCAACTGCAACACTTGGAGCAGGGATCCGCCATTGCCTTGGAGAACGGGCGAATCGTCCTAGACCTGGACTACCTCTCTGTTTTATGCAATGCAACCAACTTCTAAAGCATCCGGTTCCGGTCGTCGAACGTAATTGCCTGACAAAGAACTTTTTCAGTATTGTATTCTATTACAGAAGTTATTACCTTCAGAATCAGAAATAACAGAATTTGTCATGCAGGCAACGGTTCTACTTCTAATCTATGCACAGGGACAGCCAATATCTCCTTGACGATTGCAAGTAGTTGTTCTACGAGTTGTCTACCACGCCGGCGATGCTTTTGTACAACGGCATATCCTCCGGGACAGAGCGATTACCCCTCCTACTACGCACCAGACGGGGTGGAAGTGTCGCAGTTCATCGACACGGCCAGCCGGAACTTCGAGTTCACCTTCTCGGCCAGAACGACCGACGAGTTATCCTACAGAAAGCACGTGCACCCATCTCAGAAGAAAGTATGCATTTGTGTTGGTTTTGTTGTGCCATGTACTAGGAATTTCAAGCGCTTTTGGCTGTTGAGCATGAAAATTTTTTGTTTGCCTGCTAAGAAAGCAATCGCAGGAACGCGTTGCAAACTGATCCCGTATGATGACAGGTAGAATACTCTGTCTCTCTTTTGGTCTCCGCATTGCAGAGTACTTACGCGAGAAAAACAGCAACCACGCAAATAAATTTTCTTTCTCTTATGGGTGGAGTCTTTTTTAGGATGCGAGTCGCCCCACGAAAGTTGTAGTCGGGCCGCAGCGTCGGGCGTCGAGGACAAGGACCACCTCTCAGCGAGGGGACAAGAATCGAATAGAAGCAGGAGGGCGTTTTCTTTGCCCAGTGCACACGACGAGCAGCAGCACAAGTTGGACTTGTTTCCCGGCACGTTTTCGGCAGCCGCCGCGACTTGCGGCACGAGCCTGCCGCCCATAGTAGAAGCAGATGATCAAGAAGTAGGTCCTTCGATGCGGACAACCCAAGAAGAACTGCGGGGTCCTCGTAGAAGATCTTCGCCCGCCTCGTCGTCCACGACTGCCGACCACCTGCATCAATTTTTCCTGTTACCCCAGCCCTCTTGTGGCTCCGACGCGAGCGTTTCGCCGTTCATTCTAGAAGCGACCGGCTCGGAGGTGGTCGACGCGTTGGCGGCCGAAGATGGCGAAGTGGAGGCCGTGCAGGAGGAGGCGAGCAACGGAGCCGGGACAGAAAAACGAACGGTGGAAGATGCGCAACTGTAAGAGCAGCAAAAAGTAGTTGTACAGTACAATGAAGTCGCGTGTTGTTTTACTAGGGTGAGTGGTACATTGTTCCCAGACATCGAGAAAATGAACATGTAGTGTTTAGTGATGGCCTTTACTTCTGCAACTTGAAGAATCTTGTGGTTGTCCTCACCTTTCCTGAGGAAAATTTTTGTACAAAAAGTCAAGGTATTAAGCCACGAGGTTGTACTTGTAGCTTTTAGTTTTGACAATTGAGACGAACCAACTTTTGGCGACGTGCAAGATGAAGCGCAGTTAACACACATAGTAAGTACATAGTACGTAGTCGACCGTATGATCCCGCTTTGCGGGCAGCGGGCTTATTCGCATTTTTTTTTCTGGCTGTACTCAAACACAGCTACCATAGCGACAGAGGCTGCCATACTCTCTTGCTCAACAGTTGAAAGACAGGTAGAGCCAACAGCTTTACTCACAACTTGACAAGAACACGCAGCGAAGTAAAGTAGTAAGTGCTGACGCACTCTACCCAACCAAGTCAAAATTATCGTGGTTTCGATTTGGAAGAACAGTCGGACCAAAAGTATACGTAAACCGAAGGAATGTCTACAAGATTTAGTTGAGTACATCGAGAAAGTACCCCTCTCAGGACTGTTGGATTCAGTCAGTACGAGCGAACAGCGCCCAACACGATGATAAACATGATCAGGAGGTAGAGTAAACATAGATACGTATAGGAAGATACCAAGAAAATTGTTTCCTAGTCGTGTGCACGCAAGCGTGAAGATAGCTCGCATTTTCTATGGTTTGTTTGATGTGTTCGAATCTGTTCATGACAAATTGCGGTGTAGTATTGTGCGACGTTGGGTCTACTGACGAGATGTAGAAGTCTAGAATCGACGATCTACACTGTCGAGTGTGAAGATCATGCAGCCCTGGGCTGCATTGTCTGAAATTTCGATTTGCACGTGCACCAGCGTCATATCAAGCGGCGAATGCTCACGCTCGAAACTCTAACATTGTAGATGAAGATGTGCGTGGTCTCAGTACTCACTGTATGAAAAGCAAGGACAAGAAGGACCGTGCATCTGAAACTCACGGGTGCCATGTTTTTACATGGAGCGCGCAGCTGGTTTTACGAAGAATGTGACGCGGCTCTAGTTATTAATGCAGTGATGATCAACATGTTGTACTTGATCGAGGTCGATTGTTGGCGAGAATTTTTGCGTGCTGTTTTGTCCCAGTCAACGAACCAAATACGACAAGTGCAATAATGTATAGAGAGGCGAAGTAAAGTACACATGTATAAACATGCGGCGGGTTTGATGTGGTATGTCAATAGACATGCACTTCTTCGCGTAGAGCCCAGATAGAAGCAGAAGCGAAGCCGCCTTCGTTCTTGAAAGGAGTCTGTGGTGAGTCACACTCCCACAGAAGGATCACAACTATATTACCAGGCGCACCATCACTCATGCTGAAAGACAGGTGGATCTTCGAGACAACAAGGAGACCGTGCGTTTCGTAAGCTCTCTCTGAAGAGGAGCAAAAACACCATAATTGTGGAGAAGTAGATGCTTTAGAAAAAGTAGAACGACCTGAGATGGACGCAATGGATTGATGGGAGTTTTACGATCACTACGGTGTTGAAGTCTGTAGTTTGCCTATCGCCAAGAATCTGCACAGCAGCAGCTTACAGAAGAATATGAAGTGCAAGAGCACAGGGTCGCGAGATGTTTATCGTACGGCTTCAGCGTCGGACTCGGAGGTTTCGAATGTGGTATAAAATGGCAGAGGCCCCGAAGAAGATGCACCGGGCCAGTTAGCTTTTTTTGCTTTTTATTTTCCACGACTTTCTGCATTTGCGATTCAACACCATCAACAGTTTGACTTGGATCTGATCATCGTCTAACCTCGCTCGTGATCCATCCTCTGCCTCACTGCCTGGTGAAAGTATCTATTTACAACCTGGTCCGTGGTGTTGTGTTTCCTCTCCGCTTGGCTGTCCGGTGCGGTGCACGAAAGAAATCCTGTTTGCGCACGACGAAATCGTACTTGTCGCAGACGACAGCTGGATTGGTGTCAGGCTACAGTCGCAGACGACAGCTAACACGAGGAGCTGGCAAAAATGGCCGGTCCAACGGAAGCAAACGATCAGGCTTCCGAGTTGAAAATTGACGCAACCACTTCCGCAACAAGTCGCCCGCAATCTCAGCAACCTGCTGCCACAATGCAGGGCTCTGAACAGCAAGTATAGAAAAACGGGCTTTTTCATCGCGTTTCATTTTTCAGGATTTTTGGAGGACACTCGTGCTGCTTTTAATTCAGGACTTTTTATACGTTGTTGACATGAAGATGCTGATGGTGTACACACAAAAACAAATAATAAATGATCTTCTCCTCATTTCACAACAGAGTAAGGCTCCCGCAGTGAGCGTGATAAACTACTCGAAGTGGGACAACATTTATGCAACCAAACAACTGCATCGCAGTCGCTCACATTTTTGCCAGTTTTGCATCAGAAATTTTTCCTGCATAACAATTGTTTCGTGTATTGCAAAAACATCAGGGATAAAATCCAAACCGCGTATGAACTTTGACTGTGATGCATTTTTGCGCATGGGCATGTCAGATTCCTCTTGTATCGCAGAAATGCGTGGTAAATGTAAAAGTGATTGTGATCATGGTGTTTCTTTCTTGGATATCGTTGACGACAGCGACAGCGACGAGGAAGATCGCGAGTACCGCTAGTATGGCCTGCTCTGATTGAGCAAGCTCAACCGGAACTACAAGATGTGATGCAAAATGCGGTTGACGATAGCATAGACATAGATGTAGATCGGCCTACGCCTTGGTCTAGCTACCAGAATTCGAGCCACCTAGCATGACACGACTCTGACACAAATCCGAACCGCATGACTTGAAATTCGCCGCAGGAAGCAGAATAGTATCCCTTCTGCCATTTGTTTTTGTAGTGCGAAGCACATTTTTTCTTCCAGGGCTTTATATTAGGCCTGATTTTATACATAGATCCAGTCTCAATTGAGTTTGTTCCAGCTGAGCAGGGCATAGGTGCCGGCGGTGGCAGTGGTATCGCGCGGCTGTGACGGGGGAGAAAAAAAAGGTTCAGATTACGGACATTAACTCCGTGGATACCCTGCAGCAGTACATGAACGAACGGTGTCTGATATCGTCCTGTGTAACAACGTCCCCACCCCATAGTCAAGATGGGCATGGGCTGTCGCGCATGACGCATTTGGCTGTTGCTCACCGTACTTATTGAGGGATGGTTAGTAGCTACTGAGGACCGCATCAGTGTTTGATCTATCATTTTATGCTGATCATAGAAAAAAAACAACTCTTCATAACACCAACACAAAATGCTCCTTATTTTGGGGCTGCGCATGAGACGCCGAGATATATAAATATAATCCCGAGCATGCAAATTTGCAAAGCAAAAAAAGCTGGTGGGGTGAGGGCTTTATTTTTACTCAGGATATCTGAAGCCCGACGACTTTCCCCCGGGGGTGCTGGAGCAGGGCAGTCTGGCGCTGGTCCGCAGGTTCTTGCAAAATCACGGAGACGTTTTGTTCCGCGCTCTGTCGGGGCTTCGCGACGAAGACTTCCCGAAAATGCAGAGACTACACAAGGAGAGCATCGTATCCCACGAAAAAACTGTTTCACTGTGATGATTTTGCAAGATCTGCATCACAAGTTTGCTACACATGACACTGAAAATTTGTCATGTGCGCTTCCCAAGGGAAAACACGCTTGAAAATCCAATGCCTTGCAGGTGCAGCAAGACAAAGAGTTCTGTGTTTCATTTTCTGCATCACAAGTTCACAGTGAAACAGTTTTTTCTTGCGATACATTGCCTACAAAGGCGATCATGCTGCGGACGAGGAGCCGAGCAAGTACTTCGTGAGTTCCAAGGCCTGGAAGGAGAGGCAGAAAAAGACCCGCGCGGTCTGGGACACCGCTCTGGGCGAATTGCTGAAGCCGAGCTCATCTTCTGCCACTAGTGGAGTGAACCCCGCTTCCCAGTCCAAGGAGGCCAAGAAAAGCATAAAAGATGAACTGTCGATGAAAAGCAGTGCAAGCAACAGAACCTCCCCTTCTGCCGCTACTTCTGCACGACCACTGGGGAGCTGCACTACTAGTGGTCCACTCTCGACGTTGCTGGAATCGGATGAAAACGAAAAGAGCGCATCTTCTTCAAGTTCCCGGAACAGTAACAAAGCGTCGAAAATGAAGATCATTTTTTGTCCCGTTGACGCTGAGGAAAACGCGGATAAATCATGTTCTTTGACCACGCAGGCGGGTGGTTCCTGCGACAAGGAAATTATAACGTTAAAAGAGCAACAACTGCATCAAAGTAGAAAGAACGCGCAGAGTGTTCACCTTGGTACTGGTGCAGCGAGCAGCAATCAAGAGAGCGCCACATTTTCGAAATCGAAATGCACTACCGGACCGGGTCGTCGTCGTGCTCGTGGCGCCGCCGCACCAGCTGCTGGCTCTACAGTTGTAGCAGCAACAGGACGAGCTCCACCTGCCGCCCACAGCAACTCGAGCAGCTGCCGGGCGACGGACGAGATTTTTAGCAATGTTTCATCTCCGAACACGACCGACGCACCGGAGCAAGTACAACAAGCAGAAAGCGATGTCGGAGCAGACAATGTTGTCCATACAGATCACGACGAAGCTGATGCTCTGCTCTCTGACGTCGACGATGAGGAAGTAGAAGATGAGGATGTTCTACTTGAGGCCCTCGGCTCCGAACAGGCACAAGATGACAAAAACACTTCCGCCGACGAGGAGGAGATTGAAGATGCGCAAAGTTGTGCTTCAAGTTGCTGTTCTGACGCAATAGACTTGGGGGAGCGACGCAGCTCCTGCAGTGCCCCGTCGGTGGAGGAGGGCGAACAATCAGTGGACGGCGAGGAGGAAGACGTTGCGCTTGACACCGACGACGAAGCAGTGGAAGAAGAGAAAGACGGCCTCGAGGTCGAGGACCAGTCCGACTGCTCGCATGAGGAAGTAGTAGATGACTGCTCCGGAGAGGAGCAGGAAGCGGACGAAGAGGTGGAAGGAGATTCGTCCTGTTGCGAGGAGGACCCGCAGATGTCAAGCGACGAAGAGGAAGCCGAGGAGGGAGAGCTTTTGACTAGTTCCTCTGAGGTAGATGAGGACGTAGAAGCAGAAGATGTTGAGGAGGACGAGGAAGCAAAAAAATCAGATAACGTGACCGCATCAAGCAGTTGTAACTCTTGTGCAAAAAGAACATGTGAAGAACAGGCGAAGCATGAAGAAGTAGATCAACAACAAGGTATTATTGACAAAGCGGCACCGAAGAAGAGGAAGATTAAACAGGTTTGCGACATCAAGGCGCCAGCGCAGGCGGCATTCGAAGCAGGTGCGGATCAGACACGCAGAGAAGATGCTGTTGAGTTGGTTGGTATCACGCGTTGCGACGCAGAGACCGCGAGGAAAATCCTGGACGCGCAGGCCGACGGCAATGGTGGAAAGAACAGGAGTCTTACTATGATGGGCGACTTCGTTATGGTGCCGGTAATGATGTCCTCCGGGAGCAGTGGGACCACGCTGCCTGATCAGCTTCATATTGCGCCGCAAGGCGGCGATGTTCCAGCGGCTTCGGTTTGCCGCGCCGGTCGTGGAGCAGCTGTTGCCGAGGAGAAGGGGAAGAATCACAAGACCGCTGGAAAGAAAAAGCCTTCTACCTCCGCCACC